ATGAATCAGTGAATTAATTTACCAGTGGATGTGGAGAACAGCATCTTGAAGCCTGTTTTATAACCAGCCATCAGTGGTGTGCAATGAAATTCTTGTAATGAGCAAATCCATCAGACAGACAAACTGCTCTGCTACTTGGGCATTGGCATTGTAGAAAGCAGAATGAGAAGTCTTAATCCCAATTCCTGAAGGACAGTACTTGCCAGTATTGAATTATATTATTTTTTTTTTCAGAACACTTCACGATGTATTATAAAAAGTTCCCTTATTCATGTGAATAATTCTTATGATAAGTTACACAAATAAGTACTTGCTTGAATAAGAGCTACAGAATTGCATCCTGTGGGAATGACTTCTGCAGGGGTTTCTAAAGCATTTGTCATTCTTAGTGAAAGTCTTAGACTTAGTTGATTAGGAATAATGTAAAATTATGTGCTATTTGTAAATCTTTACTCTCATTTAGCATATACATACCTACAGCAGTGTCATTTTCAGACTTATTTCAATAGAACCTGATGCCAGAGAAAAACTTACAGCTTTCACTGAGTGCCTCAGAAGCACTGAAGTGAATTGTTAGCAGAAGTCAGTCATTTAGCAAACACACAGAAGTCACCAGTGCACTGTGTGACAGCGAATGGAAAGCAGAACAGACCAGAATCTCATTTCTTCTCAGAGCTTTCCAGCTGATAAGTATCAACTGAAATATCAGATTTCCAAGAAGGGACTACTGTAGGGTAATTCTTTAAAGTGAGAGCTCTCCACTTCAATATTTTTTATATTAAAAAAAATATATTTATCAGATAGAGCACTATGAAAAAACCCCAGATGTGAACATTTGATCAATGTGGGAACACTAAAGGAAAGCACATTGATGGAAAAAAATTAACTGTTTTAAAAAATTGGTTTAGGCAAACTTCCTTCACGTATCTTTATTAAATTTGAAGACCGTGACTTGGAAGTGTGAAAATCACATTTTGCTTGTCAAAAATCAAGACAATGTGACATCGGAAGTGTTGGGGTGTGAAGCAGTCTACAGGGCCAGGCCCACAGTAAAGAGCTTCAGAAAAAGTAATGAATGCCAAGGGGCTCTGAGAGACAGAAGGAACTCCAAGGTAGCATGATGGCTTGATTACCATGTCCTCACTGACTGAAATCAGTAAAATGCTGCAAGATTTCTGCATTTGTTTTGCAGTTTAATTGTAGTCTTTAATCTCTTAAAAAGCAAGGCACAATAATTCCAAGTATCAGATCTAGGGAATCAACAAAACTGACAATCCGAGTACATTAAGCTGTGTACTTACCATTAGTACCATTCATGCTTCTGTGCCTTCATTGATGAACTCATTCCTGCCTCCCAAAAGTCACCCTCTGCTGTTACAGACAGAGCTGCAAGTGACATTCTGTATTTCATAACCCTGAGCTCAATATCCATTATTGCTCCTTGTGGCAATTTTAGAGATTTGTTTTATTTAAGGAAGCTTTTCTTCATCAAAATAACTGTAACAGATGTTTTATGTTCTATTTGTTTTGCTATGTGATAGCACTGCAGAGAGAGATTAAATTAACTCCCCAAGTAGAGTATTTCTAGGGTGAAAATAAACGAGAAGAAATCAAAATATATGTCCAAGGGAAAACCAAGCATCTATTCAAGGGACAGATATTTTTGCAGTGCTGACTTTACTGGTTCTTCAATGGTGCCATTGTTTCCAGTGAAAAGTGTGCATCACCTTCCCAAGATCTGTGCACATTATCACATTGGCGATAATGAACTTCAGTTAATACTAAAGCTATTCATAATTTCCCTGTTTTCTCCTGAATCACAATTCCCATATTCCTCTAATGATCACGTTTTTATGTCTCAGTAGTCCTTGTCTAGTGTATAGATTGATATATAGTACAACTAAAGTATTATTGTGGGTAAGGATTGGATTACATGGCTAGAGTGAAATTACAGTTCATTAAAGAACAGTAATAATTTATTTGACAAAATTTTTAAAAAATTAAAAATCCTGTTCGTAATTCTTTGAAGTTGTGTCATGGAAACTATATTACACTAGATACATTTTGATAGACAAGGCTGCCCCAGGAATGTTCCTTTTAAAAAGTATGAATAGTAAAAAGATTCTATATTTTAAAGGTTTTTGTATGCTGAGTAAATAAGCCCAAACACTGTACGATTTCAGCAGTGAAGCATGTCATGATTTTTGCCTTGCTTGTCATGACTAACAGAATGACAGATCCGCCCACAAGTCACTAGCACCATGACAAACCATGCTATGGCAGAATGACAACTTTTCTCATCTAAATTAAAAAAGACATCAAGAAAATGTCACTGTTCCCATATTGAAGTCTTCTGACAAAACAAAGCTAGTGACACCACAACAGTCTCTCTCAACAGATGCCTTTTACTAAAACTTCAATTTGAGAAACTTGTTTTAAACACAAGATATTCTCCAAGGCATTAATCATCAATAGGGATCTTGGGCCTGATTATATTCTCTGCTTTCCAAGTCTGTATATATGGAGTTATTTTGATTATGTCTCTGTTGGAGGATCAAACAATTTTGAACTGAACTAGTAGCACAGAACACATTTAAATGTGATCTTGAGAACTTGTGTGCTATAGCAATGTAGAATTTTTTTGTATACAGCATGTTTTTGTGCACAGACCCTTATGTGACGACCCACACATGAAAAAAACAGCAGAGACTCCACACATGAAAAGAAAGCAATAACTGTTTGAACTGCTTTTAGCAGAGCTAAATACTATTTAGGTTGAATTATTTCAGGATGGAGTAAGTTCTAACAGAAGGCTTCGGTTTTCTAGCTGCTGAGATAGTGACGTTAAAGGTGCTTGGTGCACACAGTTAAACTCAGAGTGTCGTGGTTTGGCCCGGAAGTGTGTTTTTGGAAGAGTCTAAGTCAGACCAATCACCTCTGAGAACACACAGGGGTTAAAAGCAGGAGATTCCCAGAGAACTTCCTCTTTGGGAATCCGGCGTTAGCGAGTGGAGTCTGACCTCTCCCCTGCCCAGCTGCGTCTAGGTGGGGGAGGTGGAGGGCATTCAGCCTGTGGGGAGGAGGCCAAGGCCCCAAAAGGTGCAGGGGTGGAGGAGAACATGCAGAGGTTGATGAGACTTGAGATGTCTGGGCAGCCTCGCCCGGAGAGAGGGACAGAGACTGTGCTGGCAGCTCAGCCGGCCAGAAGCGGGGGATGCGGCAGAGAGGTGCCCGGCAGCTGTGGGAGTCCTTGGGCAGGCAGAAGTGAAGATTTTAACCCCTTTGTAGACTAATAGAAACGTTCAGTTTGTATGAATAAAGTGTTGTGTTTTTCCCTCCTTCCCCGAATGGGAGCCTGCTTTGTTCTGTTCTCAGGTCACATCTCACAGCAACCATTTTGAAAATATACCCTTCACGGAGGCCCTAGCATTGTGCCAGGGTCAAACCATGACACAGAGATATCAGAAGATTGGCATGTCAAGACATAAGATAGACTGAATTATACCAGAATGTGTTTGGTATGTGTAGTGGGTCATTGTTCCACACAGAGGGAATTTATGTTAAAAATAATAAAAGCCAGTAGAGATTTAGCCAGCTACAAAAGCTGGGTTAAACATTTATACTGATACCTCAGATGAAGCATGGGCTCACAGTTAGGGAAGTGTTTAGTATGAGTTGGTTGGCACTCCCTTTCCTGCCCCTTTAGGCTGAGCTGTTGCTGTGCATCCAGCTGAGCCCGAGCTTCCTGCATGGAGGATTCTGTCTCTGGTACAGCGGAGTCCCCTGAGTCTGCAGCATGGTCATTGGCAGGGCTCTCAGCTCTCCTGTAGAAAAAAAGAAAAAGCACAGAGGGGTTTATGCAAGTTGTGCAAGGTTGTTTGGGTTTGTTTTGTGGTAGAGGTGGGGGTCAGATTTCGTCCATTTATTTGTTTGTCCTTTCTTGCAGTCCTGACCAGGAATGCTCATCATTTTTCATCAAAGAAATAGCTGGTGGTAGCTCAGCTAATCTTATCAGCTGCTGCTGTTGCTTTTTGAGATCAATATAAAGCATTTCCAGGTCACTGCAGTGAGGTTCCATGGTTTCTTAGCTGTGCTAAGAGGATCCCTGTAGTGTTTCTTAGGTGTGCTCTGAAACCCTGACAATCCATATTCCTTGCAGTGCTGTCCTCCCAGTGCCTGCATATATGTGTCTCCTTCTGAGGCACATATGGGCATGTTCTTCTGTTGTTTGCACATAATTTTCATTCCTTCTCATAATTTATACATGCTAGTTTGTCATCAAGTATTGTATTTCTGCCCATTCATTATTCAGTGGATGATAAAGAAATGGTGAAATACCAAACAGCACGAGGAAGAAATGCACCAGGGACTTGGTAGATTGGGGGGTTGTCTGTGCAAGACTCAATTCCAGTTCATTCCCTGTCCTGGCAAGTGTTACTGCTTACTTAGGGGTTGATCCTTCCAGCACTTGTGTTCCAAAATCCCATAGATGACATCATTTTCTCTAATGAGGACTTGCAGTTTTAGATCCTTGGAGCATAAGGTCTTCTTTAGCTACCTGAAAAGGTGCCTCAGGCTTCTCTTCAGTCTCTTCAGAGGCTGTTGTAGGTGGTGGCTCTTTCAAGACACCAAGTAACACCTGGCTGCAGGTCTATAATTAGCAGCACTGATGTGAATAAACTGGTTCACAGCTTTAAAATTCAGCAGTTGTACTGGCATTCATAGGCTCAGGACCTGGTTGTGTGTGTTTTTTGTGGAGTAGTTGCTCCATGCTAAGGTAAACATCTCTGCTTCTACCACTGCTTTCTTCTAGCTGAAGTAACAAAATTAAAAAATGCAAAATCTGTACGGGAATGGTAAAAACTGCAGTAAATTGTTAGTTGTTTAGAGACATAATTTACCTCCATGGATTTCTACCTTTAAACACTGTATCTTGTTGACCACAACTTTAAAATGTCTATTTTTCATTCTTCTCCGGTGTCTTCTGCTGGATTGGGAAGGTGGACAGCATGGCGAGTCTCCACAACATACATGTTCGCACAGGCTGCTTCTGCAACACGGGAGCCTGCCAGATGCATCTGGACATAAGCAATGAGGACATCCAAAGGAACCTGCAGGTTAGTCTCTGAATGTGGCTGGAAGTTAAAAGCTAAAGTGAATCACATCCCATGGTTTGAAGTCTCTGTGACTTTACAAATGAAGTTAAATTTGACTTGTTTTCTTTAAGCTTTCAATTCCTTTGCCTTGTTAAAGAACTAAATTGATTGAAACTCAGCTCATTGAAATGAGGTATTAAAAAAAATCATTTGATGGATGCAGAGAAGTATGTGTTGCTTGTTATTATTTCATTGGAGAATAGGAAATTGGGCCTTCTTGTTTGGTTTTGGAATTGCATGGTATCAATACTTCCAGCAGAAGAGAATTTCCTGGACAATTCCTCTCATGTTTTTCTTTAACCTAATTAACCTTTTTCTTTAATCCTAATTAATTATTGTACATACTCATGTTCAAGTCTTATAGACCTGTTGCTGTTGGGTATTACAATTTAAAATGCATACGCAAATTGGACAGGAAACAATAAAGGCAAATACACTGTGGATCTCAGAGAATGAAGCAAATTTAGATTAAATCTACTTAGATTACTGGTGTGTTAGATTTTTAGAATATGAATGTAAAGACTGTTTTCAAGATTACTAATATTTTCCATAAACTGTCATTAAAAGATGTATAGCAGGATGTATTACAGTGAAGTGGAGGAGGCTTCCTGTCTGCATATTTGTCAGAGTTTGAAATTACAGTAAATTAATTCAGAACAATCAAAAACTTTATTAATGATGTTCTTCAAAAGATAAAAAAAATCTAATTGCTGTAATGATATTATAGCTCCCTTATAATTTCACAGGGATGTATAGATAATTTTGCAAACACATTTACATGCAGAACTGATAGCACAAGTTCTTAAAGGCTGCTACAGTTCTTTAATATCTTCCTTGGGAATTTGGTGCTTTGACTTGCCATGGAAGCTGTCTCCTCTGAGAAAACAAAAAAGAGTCTACCTTTTTTCTGAGGTGAAAAATGCCAAATAACCTGCTGCAATGCTCCTGGATCTCCTTATACAAGGAGGATATTGCTAAGGAGTGAGTGACTTCTTTTAGGTCTGTGTCACTTAAATGGGGATAGGCCAAAGTTAAATTTATGGAGAGACACTTAATTGCCAAAGGTTGTATAATGAGGTGGCACAGTTACACAGTCATTATTTGGGGACATTCCATTCCCATCAGTGCTTTGAGAAGGATCAGGATGAGTTATTGACAACATTACTGTGTAAAGGAAGACATCTTTTATCATGTTATTTGCACATATACTTCAGTTTCGTCTTTTCCCAGGGTGCTGGCTGTATTCTTCCTTCCCTGATGAAGCTGTACATGATAAAATGCCTGTGAGGGAGGACTTTCTGTCTTCAAGTGTCCCTGGAGAAGTGTGGTTAGTTTTCCTAGAATGTTATGTAGGAACTAGTTTACTTATTTGCACAGTAGGAATCTCTCTCCTCAATCAATCAAGCAATACTTGGCAGAAGGGTTACAGAAGGGTATATTAACAGATGCAACCTAATTTTGAAAATGTTGCTTCTGCTCTTTTGTCAAGGATAAAAACTACTTCACACTGCATTAAAATATTTACTACTGTGTTGTATACTTTGACATAGGTTTTTATTTCTCTTTGCATAAATGGCATCTGTGTTCACTGTCCTGTGACATTTCTTGCTTTAAAAAAAAGCCCTCATGTAAATAAACTATTCACATGTCCATTTTTAATGTAACAAAAAATGTGTAAATAAATTAAATTCTGAGGAAAAAAAACCAGCTGCTGCACTTAGGGAATATGATAAATCTTAAGTCCATTGATGAGCTGCTATTAAGTGGATAAACAAAGGGGGACTCTAGCTTGCTTCACTGTTGGTGAGTGGCAGCACTCACTGACTCACTTAAAGAATGAGAAACTTTTGCTCTTAAGGGAGAGTTTTCCACAGAGGCTTGTATGAGAGACCTATCAGAGAGGTATCTATATGGAGGCCATTATAGGGCATTCAAAAAATTTTTCAACAAAATTTTTTCAAGTAAAACTTGTGCTCTTCAAAGGAGGAAGTGTTAGAGGAAAGACTAGTTCCCTTTATCCTGAAAGCAATGTGTTGACTGGATCAGCAAGACAGATTTGTTGGATATACCTATGTCATTTAGGATGTCTGAGCTCTAGATTGAAGTCTCTGCTTTGCTGCTATCCCAAATGAGTTAGTTCTCTGCTGTTTGGACTATTAAACACAAGCCATGATAAAGCCACTGGTGGTATAAAATGGCACTTTTCTGACAGTGAATATCAAGAAAACTGCCCCAGAAAAATCAACCGTCTCATGGTTTGTTCACTTATCTGAACATAACATCACAGTTTGAATCCAAATGAACTATGGAATATCTCTGGAGATTGTCTGAGCTGACCATCGTGGGACATATAACCTTTAAGTGATTCTTTATATGTTTTTGGGAAGTATCTCTTCCCCTAGAATAGAATAGGACAAGCAGCTCAAAATTATCTTCGTAGTTTTAGTAAATCATAAGATGATTGAGGGGTTTTTCCTTCATTTTCTGTTTGCATTGATGAGTTAACCTTCTACTTTTTACAACAGTTTTTCAGGTTAGGATGAAGAGACTCATTAATAACTAGGTAAAATTAGATAGAAATAAATCAAAGTGTCATGACAGCTCTCTGATTTTCTTCCTATTTCAAACTAGGCTGGCCATGTCTGTGGAGATAACATAGACCTAGTTGATGGACGTCCCACTGGTTCTGTGAGAATATCCTTTGGCTACATGTCTTCTTTTGAAGATGCACAGACTTTTTTGAATTTCATCATAGCCACCAGACTCTCCAACTCGGTTGCTGAGATTCCTCTCCAGTCTGTTACAAAGCTGACGACAGAGTCTGTTCCAGATGACCACCTTTCCTTTAACAAGGCAGATAAATTGTCTCCAATACTGCAAATCTCTGACGGAGAACTCGGGAATATTCCATCTGAGGCAGAGACAACTGGCAGCTGGCAGCCCCCAGAGCCTGAGGCAGAAAGCATGAGGGCAGCTGTTTCTGAGACTGCAGTGCCAATGTGTAGAAAAGGTGGCAAGCCCATCACTGTTGCCAAAATTTACCTCTACCCAATCAAATCCTGCTCTGCATTTGAGGTATGTGCTTTGAACCATTTAGAAGTATTTGTGCAGCTCAGCCCTGTGTTTTTCATCAGACTTGTGTGTATGAGATACTAGGAAGCAGGGTGTGGGTACCCATGTTTCATATTTTCCAGTTTCTGGGATCAAGTCCCACATGTTAGGCTACCTTGAAGGATTTTGAATTAGGTTGAAGTTACAGGGGAGGGTAAATGAGTCTTCTGCTCTCCCCTCCCCCACAACGGGCAAATCTGCACGTAATATGCTGTCTTGAAGAAAATAGTTGGATTTGCAAAACTTGACTAAAATATAATCAAGTAATTAGTATGCTTTTACAGAATGACATGTGATGGACTTGTAGGCATTGATGGGTAGGCAGCAATTGAGAAATAACTTGATTAACATGTTATAATTGAGAGGCGGCTGATTTACATTACAAAGAAATGTTATCATTAAAAATACATTTGCAACAGGAATATGACATTTAAGTGTTGCTGTGCTATTTGAAAGTTCACTCTTTGAAGATTTTAATTGCTTTTTTACCAAGTTAATAATATCATCACCTTAGCTGTGACTTTTTTTTTTAAATAATGCACGATGAAATAGGTGTATAGCCCACACATGACCTAGAATGTCACTCTGCTTAGTACCATACTGGGAAGTGATTTAATGAATGTCAATAATGGTATAACTTTCCCTATGCAAACTTACTGGTGTAGGTCAGTGTCTCACATCTGAGAGAAAATTGGGGTCAAATCCAGTGACAAATCTCTTGAATTTCAAATAGGGCTTCTCAGCTGATTTTGATCATGTTTTGTTATTTTTTTTCTTTCTCAGTGCAGAGAGGTTGGGCAATTAAACACTATTAAATGATCAACCAAACATCTGTATTTTTAAATTTGGGTTGGCTTATGATGTCTGTAATCCAGAGACACAATCCTGAGCATCAAATGAGACCTGAACAAACAATTTCCACCCCTTATTAACCTCCCACTAGATCAAACTGTTTAGAAAATCAAATTAATTGCCCATTTCATGTGAAAATTTTTTAACCTTTGTTGAAGCATTGCAATTTTAATAGCTGTATTAGAGAAGCCCAGTGTGGAAGCTGCTGAAATACATTGGCAGTACTCATGCACCTTTGGGGGTTAAGTTCTGGTTTTGACATGCAGGCTGGTGTTGTGAGATACATGCCACAACATTCAGCACAAGGAAGGCTTTAAAGTGATTGTGCCCAGGAGCAGGTAAGACATACCTCAGCATGAAAGAAAGCTTATGTTTCCCCACAAGCTGAGCGGGATTTCTCCTCTTCAAGCTCTGTGAGGGGAAACAGCTTTAGATGATAAATTCCCACAAACCTGGTACTCCCCAGCAGACAGGACTGCAATTCTGTATGGAGCGGGGAAATCCCCATGCCTCATGCACAGTGCTTGTGCCAGGCATGTGTTAATGGACCCAGAGTGAAAACAGGACTCATCTTACCTCAGCTTCCACCACTACAGCTCAACACTGTTCTGTAAGCACTGAGAGATGGATAAGCACCTGCTTATTCCTTTTAACATAAAATAGGCATCTGCAATAGGAGAAATAAATTTTCCTGGATATTTCTGTTTCTTTTCATTGACTGCAAGAGGAATCCAAGGCAACTTAGATTATGCAGCTAACAGTAGCTGATCTGAATAATTTAAAAACAGATATAAAAACCACAACTACATTATGAGGTTTAATTTTGCATGTCTAGAGTAATTTCTGAAATCTGTTTTGATTTTTTAATGACAAAGCCTCAGCCACATTAGAGCCCTGTAATCTAAGCACTGTCAGAGCCTGTATTCCCAAAGAGTAACAGAAAATTAAACAAGTACTGTATTTAGTGTATGGTATTGGAAGGGACTGGAATTTGACTATAAAGATAATTTAGCTCTTCTCCTCTAGTTAAAAGTAATTTTTGTGCATTTCTACGTGGTTTTCATGTGGTTTATAGAAGATATATATAAGCGCATACAAAAGAACAGTGAAAGTTGACCTAACAACTGGGAAATTGTTGTTATCCTCTGGCTTTCTCTGCATTGGGAAAGCAGGCCAGGAGTTGAAGTCAAAAGAGTATTTTGATTGTGATGGTGTTTTTATATTGAAGTAAATCCCTGCAAAAAATATGTTTGCTTTTGTGACCTTCTTCCTGTCCACTAGACGTTCTTCATGTTTTTTTCTTCCTGAAAGTCTGACTGGCACTTCTAGACCTTCTAAAAAATATGTTTGCTTTTGTGACCTTCTTCCTGTCCACTAGACGTTCTTCATTTTTTTCTTCCTGAAAATCTGACTGGCACTTCTAGACCTGTCATACATTTATAACCAGCCTGTGAAAGATCTGCCAGTCTCACTGCCTGCCTATAGAAGAAATAAAAATGCCATCTTACAGACCACCATTTGTAAAATGAACTTTAAATCTCAATTATCCCATTCTAAATCACCAAGTGGCTTAGCCTCTTCCCAATGAGTAAGAGTAGAATAGAAAGCCATGGCTGCCAGGACCCAGACCCTGCAGAGTGCACTAACCTCCAATATGTACCTATATATATATATGTTTTTATATGTCATTACTGCAGCTTCAGCCTGCATCCCCTTGAAACAGGAAAACAATGTATGTCAAGTGCACTGGAGTGTAAAGTAAGACATGCTAAAGAAGAAACCTTACCACAATTAAATGGAATAAAATCCTGAAAATCATTTTTCTTCTAAAATATTGGTTATACCAGAATCTCTAGGCTTTATCTTGAAAAGACTGAATCATATGCAAAACTATTCTTTTGCCATTTGTTTAGTGGATTTTTTTAGTAGACTTCACACTTAACATTGTATTATCTCCTTACTTCAGGAAACGCATAAACTTCTGAAGTAGTTCTAAAGTAATCACATAGCTTTAGTCTTTGACTGGAATCCAAGAACTGAAAATCAGTGTCTTGTTTTTAATCTAAAATAGCTTTAGATGCTTTGTAGTTGCTGGCAATTTAGAACAGTATTTTTCCCAATTAAAATTTCTTTCTCCATGTTTATCAGTTATAGGGTAACTCAGATAGCTGATGTGAAAAGGTAGAAGTGGTTCAAATGCTGAGTGGTAGTAAATTCATTCACCTTCTAATACTTTGATATTTGAGATCAAAAGCTCATAGATTTGTAGGTTCAAGCGGAGGCCTCCTGCTGGTATGGGAGGTCAGACCTTTAGCATGTGCTGTAACTAGGGTTTATTGTAAATACATGACCACTTGAGTTTTCCTGAAATAATGTGTGCAGTGGAAAATTCCAGATAGCTGTGAGCAGAACTCAGCCCATCTGCCACTGAAATATGCCCACGGAGTTGCTGGCTGCAGGATAGATGATTAGTGGCAGGAGGACAAACTTGAGGAGGATGTGAGTGCAAACTCACAGCTGTTTGATCTCCTCTTTAGAGTCACATAATCTCCTGCTCTCCTAAACTCTGATTTCTCTGTTCTATTCTAAGTGGTTTAGTATGAGAGGTTCTTGACCTCCAGAGAAAATCAGAGTGCAGAGTGCTTTGGCAGCTGGGAGGACGAAACTTGGCATGAAGATTGTCAGTTTGCTGCAGGTCAGGTGGTTTCTGCAGAATTATATAGAGTGTTCTTGGCCACTGTTGTCCCATGGATTTTGTACACATGGTGCAGGAAGCAGAGGGCAGAATTTTCTAGCTCAACTTCTCAAATGTAGTTTTCTTCCCTACAATTATTTTATTAAATGGAGAAAAGCAGAGGAGTAACCTCTATCCCAGACCACTTTATTTTTTCCAGCATAAAATGTGTTTTAAACATGCATTTTTAAACAGGAACATCTCTCATGTTGATGACTTTTGCATAATTATATAATGCAATGTGCCCACTGAAAGAGGTTAGGAATTTAAACTAATAACTAATTAATAACTTTATTATTCTTGCAGTAGATTTCAGAGTATAAAAAATTGCATCTCAACAGAGAAGACAAACTAGCTTTTAATTTAAAATACAATGCAAATTCCTAGAGATCAGTGGATAAATTATATGTAAGACCACTAATATTATTAAACTTAGATAATTTAAAGCCTTTTTAGTGATTCCTTTAATGTGTTAAAAAACTGTGTTAGCCTTCATGATGACATTACTGTGAACCATGGGAGAAATGCAGCCCAAAATATTTTATAGAAAATTCTGACAAAACAACCCCACGTGTTTTTGCAGTGGATATTTTCATTTTGCAATAGGAAAAGATGGACTAAAGCTGATGGGACAATACCAAGTACTGGCTGTACTATGCAGTGATCCTCATGACAGGTAGAGGAGACCATACATTGAATGATCCTGGGGTCCATCATCACCTGCCATGCTTGGAATGAAGGTTTATGCTGGTATCTATCAGTAAAACCATGCTCTGCCTGCTTTCCTTCTGTCCTCCCACTTTTAATTTGTCCCAGTAGCCAGAGGTGGCCAGACAACTTCAGGGAATCACATTACAGGCTATACAATGCACTACTGTTCACTGCCATGGTTGCTAACCTGCTCTGTTTTACTTTATTTAACAATCCCTTCAGCCCCTTTGAAATAAGGGCAGGATATGCTCTGCACAGGCCTAAGTGCTGAGAGAAGAAATGAATGTGCTCTTCCTTGCTCATCTCCACTGTCAGTATTGGCAGCAAACCAGCTCTGGCTGTTCAGAGCTGTCTGTGACTCTCCATTCAAGGGAGACCACAGTTATTTTGTTGTTGCAACTTCCTTTACCAGGGTCCTAGCAGCATGTGCAATATAGTGAGCTGAAAAGTGGAGAGGGAGTTGGGCACCTGACAGTGCACAGAGAACATCCATGACAGGACAGGGACTCACTGCAGGGCACAGTGTGTGACTCTCACCACAATGGCAAATACCCAGAGGAAGAGGGAAAAATGGGTTGAGGACCTGTAGTCATGGACTGCATCACATTTGTGGTGTGAGTGAAGCATGGAGTAAGTTGCCATTATTTTGGACTTGTCAGAGGTATCTTGAGTGGAAGGTGTTGATTATTTCCAAATATCTGCTAGCTAGTTAGCTGGGCTTACACTTTAATGCCTGTCAGCATGCAAGAACTACCTGAAGCTCTAATTAAAGAGAAGTTTTATTTTGCTCATAAAGCCTCTTGCCTTCAGTGAACGGTAAGCAAACACTTAAGCTATTTCCTGAAAAAGATTGCTGTTCTGAAGTGGAACCAAAACAACTGAATGTTGCAATAGGGAACTGAGAAACTTTGTGGTCTTCTATTTTTTCTGTTTTTTTAGTTTATTATGCTCTCTATATCTATCAAATCCTGTAGAGATCTGTTGGGTTCATAGGAGGATGTATTACCCATTAATGGTCTTCTTTTTTGGAAGGGAGATTTGATAGCAGGAAATTCTTGCAGCTCTCAGATGATCACCAGCTGTTCAAATGCATTTTGGAGTCTAATTATACAGGATAACCAAAAATGCTGTCTCTCCAAAGAATAATATCCATTAAGAACAAAAGTGTGTTCTTCAGCTGATATTGCAGTCTTTGGGCTATGATTCCCTTCCTAAAAAAGACAGGGCAAAGGTTAACATAGCTGAGGTGCTGACAGTTGAGGTACGTGGATAATGTGATTTCAGATGACACTGTCAGACCTAAAATTTCTATTTATCACAGAATTTTCATCCACAGTTACATTAAAAATTGCCAACTAATATTATAAATCAAGTGGGTTGATAGAACATGTTTCTTCTCCTACTTTTTATTTTTCTGTTTTCTGTATTCAGTATAGTTGGAAGCACTGTGGTGAAATTATTTTTATTTCAGCTTTGATGCTTTGAGTTTTCAGTTCTACCTTTAGCTTTCTATAGTCAGGCAGTGTCAAACTGCTGCTGCAGGCTTTTATAAAAACAGGAAAAGTTTCTAACAACGAGATATTTTAGGTTCTGTCTGGTTTTGGGTTGATCACATGATAAACAAAAATGTGATTTTTAATTAATCTAGCTAGTGCTTCCAGACATTGCTATTCTTCATAGTGTCCGGCTGTGCTTGACATATCTTTTACTCAATAGGTTTTTGCTGAAGTCTTTTGTGGGCTATTTCATGTGAGATGTGCTCAGCTTTTCTATAAGACTTCAGTGAAGTTCAGCTGTAAACTTTTCTCCCTATTCAACTGTGACTAGAAAGCATACGTGAGCTGAAGAATATGTTAGTGGCCAGCTTTATATTACAAGAATGCTATTAATATTTTAACATTCTGGAGAAGAAAGCAGATATTAATGTCACCCAAAGGCGTTACTGAAATTGCTCTCTTTTTGGATTTCAAGATTACCATCTGTGTAGCATCAGAAACAGATGTTCTTTTCACCAGAAAAATGTATGTGAAAGCAAGGACAATATTCTTGTATGGGCTATTCAATGTAAAGACTGTTGTAGACATAATGGAAGAACAGATAGCAAAGACAATGTGTTTTGTTCTAAGGGAATTTAAAGAAACTGTTATTCTCCCAGCAAAACCAGAAGCTTCAGTGGCAGAGATTTTCTCAAATGGATTAATTGATAAAGTGATCCCATTTTATAAAAAAAAAGTTTTTTCAGAATTTTGAATTTCACAGTTTTCCTGCTTTCTGTTTGTTTGGTTTTGCCTTCATTCATAAAATTCCCATAAAATTTCTGTGCTTTGTAAGTTAAATGAAAATTTCTGGAGGAATAGGTCCTAAAAATGGATGAGTATAAAATTGAAGACAGTTTTCAGAGTGTTTCGGAGATTGTTTATTCTTATACCTCTGTTAAACTGCATTATAATATGTAACAACTTTGAGTAATTTGATTTTTTTTGTCAGCTTTGTGCAGTGATATCTTTATCTTTGATGAATGGATTCTTTTCCCTCTCTTTTCTTTTTTAAACCCCCTCCTGATGCTTTCCCAGGTTACAGAATGGCCAGTAGGAAACCAGGGTTTGCTGTATGACCGCAACTGGATGGTTGTAAACCAGAATGGAGTCTGCATGACTCAGAAGCAGGAGCCAAGGCTGTGTCTTGTGAATCCCTCAATTGATCTGAAGCAAAAAATGATGGTCATTCAGGCAGAAGGTTAGTAAACAATATCCTTTCCTTCCCTTCTTTATTGGTGTCAGATTTCTAGGCAGGGACACCTGCATGCTCCCACAAAACTACTGAATGCTGTGCATGCTTTCTTGTCACTTTAGGGACAAGTTCTGTGCCAGCTGTGGGCAATGAAGCCCAGCCTGTTATATGCAGCCCTGGGGAGCTTCCTAACTTATTGTCGGGTAGGCAGAGAGCAGACAGTGACTCCTTATGTACATTCACAAAGTGAATGCTCCAGGATGGAGAAAGGACATTTACTGACTAGTGTCTCTCCATAGCATGAAGTCCCATAGCCTGAAGGGATTGTCAATGATGCAAAAGGAATAGAAGCCTTAACATTAAACACCTTCTCATTTTGTATCTCTCTTTCTCCTCCCATCTGTGGGATTAGAGGGGTAAAGTGTTCAGTGGAAAATAGTATGAATTAAAATAAGGACCAGACATTATTTAACTCAGTTAAAGACTTGCACTAGCAGGCAAATATTTCATGATGTTTAAGTTTCCTGGGAATTATCAAAATCCTTTTTATTTGCTGCTGAGGGGGGAAAAAATATGTAAAGTGTTACAGAAAGCTCTTTACTACTCAGGGGTGAAAATTATTTGTTTTCATAACAGTGTCATTGCCACTGATCACTAGAATGGGTTTGAATTCCACAGAAGTCATTACTGATGCTGAGTTTGCATGTGTCTGAATGGTGTTCATCATTTCCCTGGGTCCAACATGTTCTGATGTCTTAACCACTAATAATATACATGCCCACATTTTCAGCAGCTAGAGCAAAACAAGGGAACCTATCTTGAGATTTTTCACCCTTTATTAGAAATCCATCTGAGTAGATCTGTAACCACAGTCTCCTTTCTGTGTGAACATTAGGGTTGTTGTCATCTCCAACTGTCTGAGAATTTGCCATAGATTTAAGTCTGACTTGTTGATTCTTTTTGTCTGAAATGGGTTTCTCAAATGTACAGTTTGATACTTCCACTAATCATGTGCTATTTTCTGTGTTTCCAATCCCAAACACAAACTAGTCTCTTCTTAGGGATTCCAGACTTGCTCACTGGCACACACACTGATGCTTTCCCCTCTTTCCTCCATACTATTTCCTTGAAAATCTATCATTAATTCATTTCAATTCTACATGGAGCACCTTGCACCTCAAATTTCTGTAGTAGTGCTGCACAGACAGCTTTCTCCCGCAACTTTTAAATTATCAAGTGCTTCAGAACTGATTATTTCTAGAGATTTATTTCCTTACCATCACTCTTCCTTTCTGACCATTCTGAGTCTGTTCTTCATTTTTTTTCCTTGCTAGCACTTGTTCAGATAAGTGCCTACCCATTAGTATGTTCACCTGTCAATAACACCTGTCAGTAACACCTGTCATACTTCAGGGAGTCAGGAGGAAGTTTTCCCAGATGAAAATGACAGTCAAGGCATCCATTTCACACTGAGATTTACAATCTCTTGCCACAGTTAGTGCCAGAGTGAAATTTGGCTTTAAATTCTACATTTTACTGTGTGTCTTTTTTGGAGTTTTCACTGTCATTTGCCTTCCTTCCAATGAAAGTGAGAACCATTTCCACACAGAAGTGATTGTCCAAGTTCATTGATCATTTTTCTACCCAAAAGTAATTGATCAGTGTGATGTAATGGGAATGACGTTGCCATTTATTTACAAGCGCACTTTGGTACAGCCAGTGTGTAAGAATGGAGTAATTTTATTCTTTCTATAATGACTCTAGCTACCAAAATCCTAGCCCATTAGGTGATCTGGGACCTCTTTTCTAATAGTCCTGCTGTTTTTTAGTCCCATGATGTTCTTGCAACCTGTGGCATTTTTTAAAATTCTTGACAGTGAGATAATGGGAGTCTTTTCCTTGGGGAGTGTATTCCAGAGCTTACTGCTCCTAAGATGGCACAATGATGGGAGCACATATGAACCAGCAGGGTAAGGCTGAGCAGATAAATCTGTAGGAAGTTGTTCCAATATTTATTATGTTTTCTTTCTTCTTACCTACAGTCTAAATCTATTATTTGTTTGTTGGTGTTAAATTTTTAATCTTTTTCTTTTATCCCTTCACAAACATAGGTCAGTGTTATATCTTCCAGTTAAATCATTTAATGGCAGAGAAATTTCATTTAATAACTTGACTCTTTCCTTGCAAATCCCACATTAATCCCTGCTTCTTCAATCACCATACCTCCAGCCTGTCTGTAGCTCGTTGCAAATGTAGGAGCTGAAGCTGAATGCTGGATGTGAGCAGTGATCCATGTGGTGGGGAGCAGTGGAACTCGCTTGAGCCAGGCTGGTTGTTCTGAAGCTCAGAACCTTCTCTCCCGTGTCGGTGGCTGATGTCCCGATGTTATTTCAGATCCGTAGCTCTTGGCCTGGTGAGCGACAGCCACCCCCAGGTCTCGTGCTCCGTTCCTCCATCCACACACGGAATGCCACCCACCCAATCCACCATTGCTCAGCCACAGCCTCATGCACCTTTCCAAGCTGAGCTTTGTGTCCTCCATCTCTCCTCCCCCTGCCCTCACAGTCCCTGCGCCGAGTTTCCCTGTTCTTTCCATTTCTGCCGTGCCCTTGCTTCCGTGGCTGTGCAAGCCCAGCGGCTCCAGCCGAGCGGTGGCAGCGCAGCCCGGCTGCCTCGCCTCTGCCGGGAGCTGTACCCGCGGTGCTTCCCGGCCGCTTCTATCCGCGGCTATCCGCGCTTTTCCCGCTGCCAGCGCCGCCTGTGGCGCGCACCTCCGCCCGGGGCGCGCTTTGCTGGCTGGAGGCTCCTCTCTCCAAAAGAGAGAGCCCTCTGGTAAGTGCCTGAAGCCGGGCGAGCCGAATCCCACGTAGCCTGAGTACACAGCGGTTTTTAAGAGCGTTTTGCTGCTGCACTGTTAGATTATGGTGAATACTTTATCTGTGCCACTTTTGAAACATAACGAGTCTGTTCTCTCTTCTCCTCCAGGCACATGTGTTCCTCTCCCTCTAGAAGTTTTCATTAGCAGAAAATTTGTTTATGGCTATTTTATTTCAATGTGGCTTAATAGTCTCTGTCTTCTCTGTCCAAGAAAAATTTGTCAGCATGATTTAGTGTGACTGTAACTACTTTAACACCTTTTGTTGAATTCTCTATGTGCTGAGACACCCTTTCAGGGTTGTTCTTTAACCCCTGTGTGTTGAGTGTCTCTGTAGCCCCAGATGTGGACGGGCAGACCTTGCTGTCTGACCGACCCAGCTGTGTTATCCTGCCACCATCCACTGTGGGTCGCAAGGATGGCAGAGTGGGGCTCTGCCCAAAGACACAAGCCCAAAGCTGCCTGAAGACTTAGGATTTTTGCCTGGCATGCCTGCAAAATTTGTTGACTTGCATGGCAGCTGAGGAGCTGCAGGTATTTCCTGGATCTCTGAGGAAGGAGTCAAGAGCAGAGGGAGAGGAAGGGCTTATTCATACTCTCTCACTGGCTGTACTTCTTCAGTAGAGGGAGTGAGATTTTAATTTTAGAAAGTGCATTTCTCAATTTTGTCAGAATTATTTTCTTAGGCTTTCTTATTTTTCTTAGATTGTCAACAGGCATTCCCTATTTTGTTTGCTGTTCAGAGTATAGCAAAGCCCCACAGAACCCACTTAGAGAAAATCAGTGTACAACTCTAAATCAGCCCTCATGGAGAGAAAGAATTTCATGTGTCTTGAATGAAGCTATCAGAAGTTTGGCTCCCAGTAACTGAAAGGTGGGCAGGATCAAGTGCCTTCATTTCCAGAAACCCTATTACTGGAGTGAGAATCAAGGGAAATTTCCTTGTCCTCCTCCATCAAATATGTGGGAGCACAGATTACATTGCACTTATTCCTGACCTACACAAATATGTAGCCAAACAGAATTCAGCTGAGAATACATTTCTGGAAAAGACTAATTTTTCTCTTTCCATTTTAGCTACACAATCAGCATTACCCTGGCAAGTTGGGCATTAGTTTGTCACTGCACAGTGGGAGAAATTCTGAGTGTCGAGGAGGCACCTTAAAATATTGGAGTAGAAAGATGCTAGCAAAACTCAGCAGCTAATTGCACTTTATGGAGTTTATTGTGCCTTCAAATAGTCATGTGTTACTGCCAATAAAAATAATGGAAATTAAGTGCATACACTGATGAAAGAATATACATGAATGGTTTATATTTCAGTCTATTGAAATAACAGATCTCTAATTTTCCTCATTGACTGAAAATAGGAGCTATAACGATAAGAATTTTTTATATTAATACTGTGAGCACATCTGTGAATTTTATTATCAAGCAAATTACCATGGAGAATGACAGCTTTTGCACTTTAGTAACTGGCAACATTCTACTTTATTTTTTTTGCCTTAAAGACAGAATAAAATTGTAATTAACAATGTTTAACTGACCTAAACATCACTGTAAAATGTGTACTGTTCAATAAAAATGTGGTACACTTGCTGGTGTATAAAAGCCTTTTTAAAGCCCTGAAATTCTATTTTAAGAAATTTTGTGAGTATGCTTTTCTTAGAAAGTATTTGAAAGATGTAACAGTTAAGAGTGCATGCAGGGTGAAATATTTCAAACTCATCTTTTCCAGAGGGAGTGATTCTAATGTTTAATTGTTTCAAAGCCCAAGTTCTAGTTGATAAGATAATAACATTGGCTTTTTTTTTCCAGGTTGTTACAGGGTAGTTCAAAGAATTTTTACATGTATTATTTTCTTAAGTGAACCCAACTTTTCCCCCTCTGTCTTGACTTATGACATATACTAACATAATTAACCAAAGAAGAAGTAGACCACTTTCTATTTTGTAAGACATGCATGAAACAGAGTTGATAGTGGCCTTACAATGAATCTGAACTACATTTTATTACACTTCAGAAGAAAATAAGCCAACTTGATTTCACCATATCACAGAGCTGGTAGAGCATGATTCTTATTTGTTTTACAATATTGTATAATATCAAAATATGTAGTTATAATTCTGGGAAATGGGGGGTGTCAAGGTTTTGGTTAATATATGTTGCACTGTAATGGAAAATCTAGATTCATTGCAGTCACACAGTAAAACAATTTGTTCTTCATTTAAGATTATTGTTTTCAATTAACAGAAAGAAAATTAGTACAGCTTTTCATTTCTAGCAAACTACAGTACTCTTTCTGTCTCTTTGGCTCATTCTGTTCAAGATGAGAAAAACGTGGGAGAAGTTAAGATAGACCATTACCAGGGAATCCTCAGGTGGTTTAAACTTGGAGATGAATAGATGGGAATAACTGTCTCTTTTGCAGTTTTCCATACATTTTGTCTTGTCGTTAAATTATTGTAATTTTGTCTCACAGTATATTTCTTTTTTTGAACAGACTGTGCCTCTTTTATACTTCCCCCCTTCTCCATCTCTCATCTTTCAGATCGCTCAACCCCTCTACTACAACATTACAGTGTTTAACATCATCTCCTGACTTGTCAGAAGAACCATCCTTTCAACAGAAATCGTGACTGAGGCCATAATTCTGTGCCAGTTTTGTTGCCTGAGACAAACAGAGAAGGAAATTACTCAAAGCTTTGAAATTGTGTATTTTTAAAATATGCTTTGAGTACCAAGGTCATCTGCAGCCTTTGTGCTTTGTTTTATCATTTGGAGCCACCTGCCGGCAGAGGATATAATTCTAGCAAAAAGAAAAAAGATTTTTTTATTTGCTGTTTGTGAGGCTGCTGTGACTGTGAAAAGGAGCAAAAATGGGAACTTTTTTCATTATCCTATTATTCTTCATAATTTTTTTTATTTAAATATGACTTTCTGTCTTCCCATCTAGGCATGGACCCAATATCTGTGCCATTAGAAGACAATACTGGAAAAGAGGCTGTGATCTGTGAGAGTAAAGTCTGTTCACACAGGTAGGTAAGAGCAGAGAGGTACTGAAGCTGAAAATCACTATAGTGGCACTCAGGATGTGAACAGATGTATACACAGACAGAAGTTCTTGAAAAAATGGTGGAGAGCAATGAATGATTAGTGGACCAGGAGAGTGGTCCTATTTAAATAAGTAAGTTGGCATGCCTTGTCTGATAGAAAACAGTAAAAAATTTTAAAACATAAAACAAGGACTGGAAGGAAACTACAGTAAACTGAATTTGCCCTCTCTTGAATGAGTGAGATCTTTTTATGTACTTGCTCCAAGCATGAGAAAAGGAGAAGGTGTCCCCAGTTACCTCCAAATGTCAGCTGGGGTCTCAGCAGGGCTTGAATTCTGTTCCCACATTTAATAGTGATGATGTTAGCAGCTTTGCCCATTTCATACTGCATAGATTTAAAATTGCTAGAAGCTTTTAAAGTTTTAAACAGCTTTCCATATTTACAACCTTTTTTAATTTTGTTTTGACCACCCATGTTGATCAGTGTCCCCTGAACAATCTTGACTACAGGTATGTAAGTTAAATAACATTAATTCTAATCAAGAGACATGTCACTTCAGTGAATATAACATTAGGAATAAAATTATATCCAATCCATAAACTTAAGTGTTTATTCATCATATTTTCTAAGAACTTCCTGCAGTCTCATTAAGTTTCTGAGTGGCAGTGTATCAAGTACCTTGCTAAAGTACATTTGCATTATCTACTATGTTTCTTTTCAATGAGTCTCTTGGTAAGTCCAACTAAAAGAGCCACTTAAAGATTTATGTCTCCCTTTCACTAGGTATACTAATTCTTTGTAACCCTCTAGATTTGCTTCTCTGAGTAACATATAAACAAACCACCAGAAGACGTGGCAATTTCCCCACGGAGCCATGCAGAAAACTATCTTCTCCTTCTTTTCTACTACCTATTCAGATGATAAAGAGGATCTTTTCCTCAGAAGTGTATTTTCCTCAGGTAGTGGAATCCACCCAAGAGTCATTTGTTTTAACCATCTGTCCCACTTCCCTTAGTGTTGACTCATCCCTAGCCTCCCCATGGTAAGCCCATCTAGTACAGGCTATAAAACAGCCTGAGTTATCTTTCTCTCAGTGTGCATAAAATTTGTTGCCATACTGTTTATTGTAGCTTCTCTTTCATGTAACTGACTGTGTCATTTTTATTGTATCAAATTTGAAATTTTCATGGGAAACTTCTTAGTATTCTGTGGAGGAAGGAAAGAACAGAATTAACAAGAAAGGGGTTGTGAAAGCAAATTGCAAGGAGTGGACTGTGACTAGCAAATAAACAAGACAGGAAGTAAGGCAGGATGAGTGAACATTGATGAGGCTCTCAAACTGCTTGGAGACCCAATACCACTGATGCCAGTTTCTAGTGTTTCAGCAGAGAAGCCTCCAGGGCTGAAAATAATGAGAAAACCAGTGCTTTGCAAGAGGACAGGAGGTGATTTGTGGTCAGGGGTCTTTTCTGCAACATGTCTCAGGTGAGCAGTGGAGCCAATGTCTTTGTTAAAAGGCTTCTGTTTGAAAGAAACGCCTAGTGAATGTATTTTCTATGTATTAATTCTGTGCTCTGATGCTGTTATTTCATCCAGTTCTGTTGGCTTACTCTGAATTTAGACTGAGATAACTGAGAAAAGTACATGATGTAGGATCTGCAAGCAGTCATGTGAGGAAGTTTAATTTTGCAGCAGCCACAGAAGTTTAATGAGCCCAAATTTCCCTTCTGAAGCAATTCATCAGTGTTAGCCTTCATCCCAGCAGGGGCTGTCCATCAGCATGTGCTGCTCACATCAGAGGGATCTGGCTTTCTGGTACAATGTCCACCAGTGACATAAATGATGAAAGTAGAAGCTAATGTTGATAGGATTGATATTCTAGAAGATCCTTAATGCTCAAGGTTGGTGCTCTACTGAAATAAGCAGGGACACAACCTCCTCTTTGACAGGTTGCAATATCAAAGAGATCAAGGCAAGTGTAGCAGTGGTAGAAGACAAAGGTGTAGTTAAGAACAAGGTGAACTGAGCCTGTTGTATTATATCCCGTGGGATCAATATTCAGACTTCATCTGTCCTTGTTTCTTGTTCTGTAAATTACCCTGCTGGAGGGACCAATTGTAACGCACTGAAGCTAAATGACATAATAGAAAGATGAGTGGGAAACTCAAGGCAAACAGCAAGTGAAATCAGAGAGAAATAGGCTCTCCTTTATAAATTGCCTGACATGTGCCAAATGAAATGTAATGCTGACAGATGTAAAGTCATACTCCACAAAAATAAACACAAGCAGAAAACAAGTAGAATTGAGCTACAACAGAATGACTTTGACTAAGACCTTGAAGAGATGATGGTACTTGCTCAGAAAATGGTCTGACAATAAGGGAAAGCAATTTGAAAACAGGCATTTTGGAATACAAAAACTACACAGTGGCATTTGATGAAATACCGAGAATGGTGTGAGTCTCTAACTCAGCCACTGTGACTCAAAACAATAAGTGTATAAAAAGAGGGCAATTTTTTTTCCTGATTCATACAGTATTAATTTCCAACAGGCTGCTGGAGGCAATTGGCTCAGGAGAGATTTTAAACACCCCTAGAACCTCTGTGAAGGTGGAAAAAAGTACTGGAGGAATTTGTTTCACCTGCACTGTTTATCATGGAAGATTCATGTGTTCTCATTAACAGCCTTCTCCCTAACACAGTTCAGACTGTGAAATCTCATGGACACTCACCTTTTGGCCTCTTTCTTGACACGGTGCCTCCATCTCATACTCATACCAGCACACCATTCCAGTTCTAGGGCATCACTGGCTAGATGCAGCTGTGGTTAACATCTATCCACTCTGAGTGGGGAGACGGATGTAGAGCTGCACCATAATTCAAAATTCAGAACAAGCACTGAAGAGATACCAGATGTATGCAGGATTATAAAATCTTGGTTTCACTTCTGCTGGCTTTGTACCTGTGAAATTCAGTTTAACCCAACAGAGCAGTTTGTAAAGCCAAGCCAATTTCCTCTCAATCCTGGGGTTTAACCCCTTTTGCTGTGAGTATCTGTTTTCTTCTTTCACAAAGCAGATGGTTTCCATGCAGATGAACTTCTTTGGCTGGGTAGGACATCAAGGTGAGCATAGGAACACAACTACTTCACTTTCCTTGCTACAGGAATCCTTCCTAGGTCAGCATAAGAAGTCACATTCCTCTTACATTTGAAGTTAGGTATCAGTCAAATCTCTTTATGTGGTCAGTAGAGAGTTGAACATTCCCACAGTGAGAGTCATCCTATCCTGAGGTCTAATATAGATGGGAACTACTTATGTCTTTCCATTATCTGTGTGTGAAACCCATACAACTGATTTAAAATAGATGTCTGGAATTTGGAAGATGGACATTGAGTTTACTCAGGGCTGAGGAATCTGATGTCAGACAGCATCAGTTTTCAGTGGACTTCTTGGATTGAGAGAGATGAATTCAAAGTCCTTCTAGGAAAGATTACATCCATATAAAGAAGGCAATTCTATTGCCGGCTTGCATAACTCACTAGACATTTTACAAGTAATGGAAATCATCTTTAGAGAGATACTTGGCCTCTGTTAGTGGAGCCATGTTTTAATGTGAAATGCCTGTACTAACATGATTTAAATTAGAGAACTAACATCACTGTACTGGATGGGATCATTAAAAGTTACACATGGCAGAGCAATCTTAAATTGAAGTCAGATCATTCCTCTCTGTTTTTAGTAAAAAGTACAGACCAGAGTGTGACTATTTCACAATACTGTATTGCAATACTCCTATATGGGCAACCACTTATTTTACTTCAGAGCCAGCGTCTTCAGTGTTATGATTAATCCTTTATTCATATAGTAATTTTCTGTAGTAAACTAAATTAGATCTTGTGAAAGTCAGCTTCAAGAGGAAAGGAGTAAACTTGAGGAGTTAGAGTCATGCAGAGCTTCATATCAGACATTCATCATACAGTATGGATTCTGTGCTTCCTATTGAAGGAAACAGAATAAACATTTTCACAATTTGAGTTCTGTTTTTCAAATTAATGTTTGGGCAATAAAATTTAAACTTCCTCTCTTCTTGTAATAGGGTAAAAACGTATGACTGTGGAGAAAAAATTGCTGGCTGGCTCTCTATGTTTCTTGGTTGTCCATGTCGCTTGATAAGACAAAGTTCAGGTGTGAAAAGCAAGTCACATCAGAAAAATACAAAAGGTATGTTGTCATTCTTAAAACTATTTGTGATTCCTCATGCAAAAATCAGTCTCATGGACTTCATGAGTATATAGGTACCCTGATAAAGGCTGAAAGAGTTATCCAGTATAGATCTAGTCATTACGTTTATACCAAAATTGACTTGTTGATGCCCTTCTACTTGTTAAATTTGGTTAAAATGTACAGATGCACCAGTATGGGAGGGAAGTTATCATCATGACTATGATTTTGTCTGGAAACTAAAAGAGACCATTTAGAAAAATTATTGTTAAGAATCAAAATTTCATTACAAAAAATGAAATTTCATTACAAAATAATTGAAAGAATATTAAAAATGAATAGATATTGCTCTTGTAAAATATTTTATAAATTTGGTAAAATCTCACCACTGTCTCAGTTTCTAACTGCATTGCACCATGATCATTTGCAGGTTTGAGGGCATCCTTGGAATATTTCCTTAGTGCCTGGAACCAAATGAATAGACTAGTAATGAGAGAGAGTCAAAGCATGAGAATGAGTAAGAGGTCAAAGCAAAGATGAGGTGAAATTACTGATTTTTATGATAATTTTAGAATGTTGCATTGTTTTGGGGTTTTTTTTTAGGTCTGTCATCTGCTACAAACATCTCACTCTCTCTTGTGAATGAAGCACAATACCTCCTGATAAATGTAGCAAGCATTCTGCAGCTGAAAGAACACATTTCTGCAAGGTAAGATGCTTCTGTCTCCAAATGACTCTTAGTGATCTTGGATTCCAGAATCTTGCCATACGATGCCAATATAGGTGTTTTATGTGGAAATTTAGAGATAGTTACTTTTCAACATTCAAAAAATATATAGCAACTAAACTGCTATAAATACTAATTATTTTATGATTTCTGAAAATTTGGATTAAATGCATAAGCATCATCTGTATACCAGTCATCTTTAGGAAAATTTAAATGAAATTTTTGTCAAATGATTTGGTGGAAAGATATTGAGAACCAGCCAACTTCTATTTGTCAGAAGAACAAGGATAAAGAGGTTTTCTCAACATAAATTGTCTGGCAGGTAAAAATATAAAGTCTGGCTGAACTATTTCTCTCCCATGGGATTTATTAAAATTTAGAGTGTATATGTACAACAGAAATACTTTGAAAGTATTTTCCGGACTGGAATAATTTTATTTCTTAATTTAATTTGGCTTTACTATACAAAAGTGGGAGATAGAAGCAGCAAATGAAACACTGAGTCAGTCCATAGTTCAAAGATAACAAACCCATTACCAAACAAATTTTTGTATACTGACTACAGGAAATTTTTGTTTCTTGAATATAAATAGGAAAGGTTCAAATTCCACAAAAAATCTTCCCTCGAGTCCTCCATTATGTCTGTGCATCCCACACCCCCAGCATTTGTATCTGAGCCCTCTTTTCCTGTCTCTTAAAAGTTCTCTCTTTCTTCTTCCTGAAGTCATCTTCTCTTCTCTTAGTCACCCACCAAACACATCCCCTGCATTGAAAATTCATTCTTTGAGTAGAAGAGGATATATGTATCTATATATCTGCAGGAGGATATGTATATAGCTTCAGGATTTAAATCCACTAACTTAATGAAGCATCACCAAGACCACTGGAGCTTGCATTGTCTGAGGATTTTTCTTCTTCAGGAGAAGACAGTTGGGCAATTTTAGACTATCATGGCAAATATGTGTAGAAAAGGTTTGAAGCAGTCCATCTCTCAGTGTTTTGACTACCCTTTCTCAGTGACAATTAATGTCTTCTTTTCAGGCTTGACTGGCTGGGTTACATCTCCTTGGGAGGGCACTTCTTGCAGGCATCCCTTACTCAGGATGGGCTTTTTCCATGATAAGACACAGGGTGGAACTTTCCAGATATGGGATTTGAGTGCAAAGATGGAGAGTAAGAAGCAGCAAGTGAGGACAGTGAGGACAAAGGAGAACAATGAACTTCAGTAAAACATTCAACATCAGATGATACACTGATTTTATGCCTAATATCTTCCAGCACAACCAGGCTTGTAATCTGCTTTTCCTCAGAGGAAGCTCCAGATGTGGCCAGAACTGTAATGGTGACTGAGAAGCATCTGGCTTCCCACTCTGCAGTGTGAGTTGGAAGTGTCCTCCCTTCCATGTGTTTTGCCATGCAGTGCCTTCTCTGGGTGCTGGAGAAATAAATTCAGATATACAGCATCCTCATTCTGCACTGTTACTAAATCATGGAGTATGAACTTTCCAAATATTGAACTATCCAATGTACTTTTAAGAACTGCACTTGTGGGTCTTTATTAAATATTTGAGGGTTTTTAGAAAGTGTTATTTAGCTTCTTGGCATTTGAGTTTGGTTTTGCTTAAATGAAACCTGCTAAATTTTAAAAAGCAATTTCAATTCTCAGTTGAGTTTTTATAATTTCACTTTGTATGTTCCATAAGTAAAAACTAGTCTTCCAGTTTGCACTTGGCTCTTGAGAGGTGATCTAAAGCAGAAACAGCAATTCAATTAAAAATTAGAATCTAGTATACTGTTGGAGGGCTACAATGTACCTGCAGACATTTGTCTTTTGGTGTTTCCATTACAGGTCACCTCCATCCAAATCCCTGGCCTGGCCTAATGCTCAAATATTCTTGTTAGAACTATAACCCTGAGGATATAAATATTAATTTTCCAGTTTGCCTATTAAATATTGGGAATGCATTCTTCATTGCAGAGACCACGGCTGTGAAAATTCAAAGCACCTGGGCTGACTTTGGCACGTTACACTGATTTTCAAAACAGGTCCATGTTGGGATTTGCAGGATGAAGGTACCTGCAACTCCATCGAACCAATGCATGTTTTGTGGGAGGAGGAATAATGGAAATTTACTCAGATACATGTTGCCAAGTAATTATAAGCACTTCTGAGGACTGGGGGGGTGCAAGAGTGGTGAGGTATTCTGGATGTGAGCCTGAGAAAGTTGAAGGTAGAGAGATCAGGGGCATTGCAGTTCTCGAGTTCAGCAGCAAGGGGTAGATTAGGAGAAACTTGAAGTTTTTTTCAGCAGCTGTCTCAGGACACTGCAGGCCAGCTCTGAGGTTACTGGGCTTTTGATGCTCCCAATGCAGGCTGGGGTGGCAGGCACTTAGATTTTGCAAAACACAGTCAAAACTAGAGGCTCCACAGCAGCCAAACTCCCAGAGCCCACAGCAAAGTTGGGAAGCACAGCAGCATAATTGGATGTGTTCACAAGTAACTGCTATTTTCCTTCTTGTTTGTATGAGCACTGGAATAATCTGCACTTCCTTTTGGCTCCCACCTCCTGCACTCATTACAAGTTGTGTCTCAGCCATGGGATTAACTGTGGGATTTTAAGGGAAAATCTGTAGCCTTGCAGCTTCCCATCCCACCTTCTACCCTCAGGCTGCTGGAGACCTTGTGAACACTGGGTTTTGATGGAGCTGGGCTTCTGTGGTCTGACTGAAAGTCTGCACAGGCAGTTTATCCTCATGCAGTTTTGTCTGCTAGAGCAGATCATCCAGACTGTTTAAAATAGAACCAAGCTCTTTTTTTTTACCTAGCAGGCCACCTCTGCCAAGACTGCTTGATGTGAAACTTTCCCTGTATTTTGATTTTGCATGTTTTTTCTCTAACTAAAATACATTTTAAACTGTATGTCCTTATTTTCTTTTTTTTTTTTTTCTCTTTTGGGACAGAAATGCCACTCTTCACTGCTTACCCACATTTCTGCCTCTGCTGTACAATGTCATATCCCTAAGTTGTCAGAGTACGGTTTATGGAGTATCAAAAATGGTTCATGTCCTTAACAGCTAATGCAAAAAGAAATGTTCTTCTCTACTAACTGTGGCACTGAGGGAACGCTCTGGCAACTTTTACAGTGTCTTTTTTTTTCTTTTTTCTGGTCTTGTTCAAGTTCTCCTTTAAAAGAAAAGTGAAGAATGGCAATTCAAAGATGCAGCAAGATTTCTGATATTTGTATGCAGTCTGATGCTCTTTCTGTCTCATATACATTCTCCACACTGACACAAATCTACACTTTGGCAGCTCAAATGCTTGTAAAGAGGAGGAGATATCACCACACAGAGATTAATTTTTTTTAAAACACCTATCGTTTAGTGCAATCTGCTGCCTCCCAAAGGCAAATAATAATAATATGAGGGATATATTCTCTCATAAAATTATTTTACTGGCCTTTTTCACCTTCAGCAACTGCTGGTTTTGTCCCTTCTGACATTGCAGCATGTGCAGAATAAAATTTTATTTGCCTTTGGTTCTAGAAGCTTCTATTTTTACAATATTTAACAAGTCTAATGATTGCTAACTGAAAAGATCTTTTTACTTGTTACCATTAGTCTTACATATGATAACAAATTGGGAATTTTCTCATATGCATGGTTCACAATCACCTGTCTACATGTTTCCATACCTACAGTTCCATGTTACACCTCTGAAGAAGCCACCTAGAGGGTTACCTGTTATGGCTGAGAGGTTACAAACTCTAGTTGAGTACCTTGAGCCATTTCCATAGCCTTTGTAATAAAACTTGGTCCAGGTTATTTTGGAGAAGCGTTTGCTAATCACATGAGCCACCAGAGTCTTACAGCACAAACATCTAGTGCAAAATTAATTAATAATTTATTTTTTCTTTTGCTCTGTCAACTCTGTGAGACAGATTGAAGGAGCCATTGGAAATAGAGGAATTGATCCGACGTTTCCGTGCCAACATTGTCATCAGTGCACCAGAGTCCTTTGAAGAAGAGGAGTGGGCTGAGATTTCAATAGGTGCTCTGCAATTCCAGGTGTGACCTTTTCTCTCTTGTCCGTGCCCCAGTGTATCACAAAGCATTTTGATTCCTGGAGACAAAACAATTTTTACAAGGCTTTGACTAGAATATGGGCAGCACACTTTGTGCAAATGAAATTTATGAAGTGTGGAAATAAAAAAAATAAGTGATGTGTCCCATGACAAACGTACTTCAATAAATTTAAGAGGTTATGCCATATTTCTCCACACTTCTATTGAATTGCATAATTCATAGTGTTTCTAATCTTTATCTATCTGAGCTGAATAATAATCAGGTTTTTTGAGGCAAAATTTACAGCACATATTTAGCCAGCACATCAGCAGAGAATACTTGTTGCTGTTTAGCACAGTAGTCCAAATATAACCTCATGTTACTGCAAATCAAGAAACTGATGGCCAAAAGACTGGACATGAATGCAAGTGAACACTCATGGTCTATTGCCCACTGTTGTATACATCTGATCCTAGTCTTCACTCAAGACATGTTTCTAATTCTTGCCTGGTAGGGTTTTTTGGTATGTTGTGCTTCATGTCACAGCTAACAACATAATGTCTTATATACTGTAAGGAAAATGCTGAGGATTCAGACCTTGTTTGTAAATACATTCTTTCAAGAAAAACTCTTAACAAAGAATCTGTAAAAGTTACATAATACGTAAGGGATATGAACTATGAATTTGAAGATGATTTGCCTAAGATGTGAAAGTGGCTTAGTCACTGTTTTCTTAGAGATTATTATTTAAGTGTGAATGACAGGAGTACCAAGGTCAAATCTAGAAGATGTGATTGATTAGTCAGCATGCTGCGAGAAACTTTTTCAGCAAGGGTGGAAAATATTGCTTGTCTGGTCTCTTCTTATGTGCACTTTGATCAGTAAGTTGCAATATAAGTTAGAGAAAATTGAGGAAAAATTCCTATAAGTAAGAAATGGGGAACAAAAAGGACAAAATCCATAGTGTCTGGCTTGTTGGAGGCTGGAGTTACACTGGGAGTTCAGCTGAGGATCCTGCTGATAAGTTACTGTAAAACTACAAAATAAAAGGCATTCCTATTTCTGGCATTGATATACTTTAGGAATATAAGCTAAAAATAGAAAGGCTTATGTAACTTGCTTTGTCTTTTCTCATCTCTGCTAGGTCCTTTTTCAGATACTGATGTAATAACACTAGAAATTATGCTAATGCTTCTTTATGCCACAAAAATGGTAGAAGCTGTTGGACCAAGTAAAGCATGGAAAAAATATTTCCTTCTCTGTCTTGTTGTTCTTTTAATTAAAAAAATAGAGCTGTAGAAAATAATTTTCTGAAAGAGCTGATGTTTGGTGTTGATGATTATGCTGAAGAGTTATACAAGCAGTCTAGATACATCTCAAAACCCTGAAATATCACTTCAGATCAGCACATAAAATGTTTGAAGTGTACAGTTTAATTATTTGCCCTATTTGAAATTTATGGCACTTTTTACAAAAGTGGAATGTGTACTGTAAGACGTAATTTCTGTAATGTACAGCTTTGGTAAAGTTAGGGATGCAGTGTTAAATGAAAGTGCAATATGTCATCCTTCTCCATTTTAAAGCTCTAAGAAGAAATTTGTTGCATGGTTGTTTGTTATGGTTTTTTTTCCTCTAAAAACATACTTTAGTTCAAACAACAATTAGCTTTAAGAACAACTACATATGATGTTAACATCATGTGTAATAGATGATAGAGAATGAATTCTTTCTTCTGATTAGGTAAACTTGTATATTTAAGTATTTTACATTCTGAGTATTTAAAAGTACCATGCATATAAGAAATATATTTTGTATTTCCCAGTTCCGAGAAAATCCTCCTTGAGTTATATTCTGAGGCATTGGCTTAATTTTGTATTCAGTTCTTTGGGCAAGGAGCCCTGCTAACCGGCAGAAAAAGTGAAGCCATCAGGAAATACAAGTATTTTGTCTGGTATTCTCAGATTCTGTCTCTGAGAAAGTTTTTCTTAAAAAAATTAAAAAGTGAATTAAAAATTCAGTGAGACTTTTGCGAGTAGACTAACTACATTAGGTGAACAGACTTGACCTTTTACATAATGAAAGCTTGAAAAGCCACAGAAAAGGTATGCAAAAGGTATGTGTTTAATATATTATGATGGTCGGAAGCTTGTACTGTTCCACGCTGTACTGCTTTGATAAACAGCCATGAACTTTCTTTAACTAAAATTTCAGGTTGTGGGTCCATGTAGCAGATGTCAAATAATCTGCATTGATCAACAGTCTGGGGAACGAAACAAAGAAATTCTACAGTCCCTGTCTGCTGCCAGAGGTAGAAAGGTCAGTACAGTACTTCAAAATAGCTGTAATGAAAGATGTAGTGACTTTATTGCATGGGTAGTGAAATATCTGCTGAGCGAATATTCAGTTAAGTTGTTACCATTTGGATTTTTTCTGCAGAAAGAGGATGCTCTTACAACCCAGATATGGCACTGTTTATTTCTATAAAATGCTCAGTACATTTTTTTATTCAGAAATGGACTATTAATATGCATTATTTTTAACTGTGCTTGCTTTTATTACAGTGTGTTTATTTTGGTCTTAAAAGCACAAGTTGATGCACTGATGTCTTTTAAGAAAATAAATATGCTGAAAAATCAAAAAGTGTTTGAAATTGTATAGTTGGCATGTAAGAGTAAACTTTATTCTTACCCTGAGAAATTAGCAGGAAAAATAGAGCAGATGTGATTATAGTCAAAGTGGAAAGTAATTGCTTAGGAAAGTGACCTGAAAGTAAGTGTGAAATGCAGGTGTTTTATTTGAGGTCCTGCTGCCTTAGATTATGTTGCTTCTTGGAATTCAGAGTGCTCAGATGATGGCTAGACAGTTCGGCATCCCAAAGGCTCCACAAATCTCCTCACACGTATTTATTTAGCTGAAATCCTTATTCAAAATTCATTGCTTCCTGTTGGTTAAGCTGCTGTTGTTGAAGTGTCTCAGGCAGTCGGAGCTCGGAGCCTTGCCAGTACCCGCCAAACAGCAGAGACGGGGCACAGCACCGGCACAGAACAATAACAAATAGGCTGCAAATCATTCAACCAGACCATGCGCAAACAACTTACAAATACTACATTCTATGTTTGGACAAAAAAAAAAAAAAAAAAAAAGAAAAAAAAAATTGATTCGTCTCAGTGACTCATTAAGCAGACAAAGAGCTTTCTTTTTGTTGGCTGTTATCCTTGGTGAATAGCTCCTCTGGCTCCATGTCGGAGCCAGCCCTGTGCAGTGAGCAGGGCCGGCTGTCGAGGCACAGCTTCCCACTGACCTGAGGTGACTTAGGCTGGCACAGCAGACTCTGCTCCAGGTCACCACAGCACATGAGCCTTTGTGAGATGAGCTCCTGGCCATGGTGGGTAGCCTGAGGACAGGGACCCTTTCCCAATAATGGTGAGCCACAGCTGTGGCATCTGGGACACTTCAGAGCACATTTGGACACTTGGGATGGGGATGCTCCCTGCTGACACATGAGGTGTAGTGCACAGAGGACTTTTTCTGCCCATATGGGTTTTACTGGATTATGACTTGAAACCTCTGCAAAAAGCACTCTGTACTCAGTGAGAAAATGGCAACAAAACCTTATTCAGGATGCAGATTCTCAGGAGAGGCACAGCATCTTCTGCATGTTTCCCACAGCAAAGATGAGCTCCTGTCTCATTCTGATTAACTCAACAATGAAGAGATTTCCTTGATGCACTGCTAGAACCAAGTGGCTCATTCAAACAGGACTAAGGCAAAGAGAGCAATCCAGCCTCTCGAGAAGGAGCTGGTGCCTGATAAAAGCTGCACTGCAAGACAAGTCAGGTGCTGCTGATCACGGCGCGGCAGCGCTCTCTCTACCTCAGCTGCGCCGATGTTCACGCTGCAAAGACACTGGCATTCAGCCTTTTTTGGTTTCTCCCAGCCTTTTGCCAGCGCTGCTGGTGGATGGGGTCTTGTGAGCATGCCCTGTTCTGCATGAGGGCGAGTCCTCTGGCTTAGCTCACAATTGAAAAGGGAGAGTTTGAGCTGGTAGCTTTGGCTAGTCTGGTCTGAGAACATCTCCGAGCCCATTCCCCCTGCAGGTCGCCTCTGTGGTGATGGGCACAAGCTGATTATCAGTGAGCAGCACCCAGAAAGGACTATGGCATTTCTAGTGTGCTCAGCAGACCTAACAGAGGATGCTGATCCAAATCTTACAGAGCTCACAGTGGGGAGAGAGAAAGAACATCAAGTTCATGTGACTGTGTTAAATCGCAGAGCTAATCCTTTGGTGACTCATATCTCTACCATGTGCTTTTCTGCTAAGGAGTCAACTAATAGACTTAATTTTCTTTTATTTTTTTTTAAATCAGATGCAGATTCAGTGAAGGAATTCAGCAGTGTTTGCTTCCATCTGTCAATAATCTGATAGAAACTACAAAAAAAATAACTACTGCAGAAAAATAAGATTTAAGATAATTTCCCAGGTTTTTGGAAAACTGCTGTAGCAAGTTGATTGCCAAAACATTAAATATACTGCAGATAGAAAAGAGACTCAGGTGTCAATATTTACCATTTTATTTTGTTTTTTCCAAGAATGCCAACCTGAAAAAATTACATTGAAATTTATCAAACAAGTAGCCCAAATAGCAGCAGTGCCAATGAACTTCAATAATGAGCTAAATAACGTAAGGCTGGTAGGAGGTAGTTCAATATTTATTTCCAAAATCCTGTTTTTCTCCATTCCTCTGAGACTCTGAGAACCTGATGCTTCAAATTGAAAGATGGAGCTTTTGCATAGATGGATTGCAGCTGAAAATCAGAAGCAGCTACTGTAACTAGTCACCCAAGCAATTTACATCCTTCCAGATAAATGCAAAGCATGGTGCTGAAGCCTTACCAGCTGCTTTTTATTAAACCTTTTATGTCATTGTTTGACACAAAATGTGAACACCTCTATAAAGTGAACTTGAGCTCTGCAGAAACACTCATAAAGGATTCCTTCTGTAATTTTTGACTGGAAAGGAAAGATGAGCTCTCCTCGTGTGACAGAGTGCTCTCTGTTACTGCAGGAGATTAGGAAAGACTAGATAACTCCATTAAGGAAATGGCCACATGCTGTTTCACATGCCTCACCACCTGACACAAAACACACACGGGTGGAAAAGGGAGAACACAGCATTCCTGCCTCTCTTTGGTGTTTTGCAGATGCCGTTTAGCACTAATGACAGCGGAAGCCCTGTGGGTAGATTTGCAGCAGTGCTATAAACTGGGGCTTGCTGGCAAGGTAGCCAAGGGAATTTTTGCATTAGCAGTCTGCCCTGGTCTAAATGTATGGATAGCAGTACATCAAGGGAAATCCATTATGTTTGCACATGCCTTCGTACACTAAAAAGCTTGTGTTTTTTTCTGGGGCCTGTTGATACTCCTTTATGTATCTCATTGTGCCTTGGGAGAGCTTCTTTTCCTGCAGAATTAGATGCCATGCCTTTGGATTGCTTAGTGAAATGTTAGCAAGGATAGCAAATTACCTCTTATATCTGATGCATCATTATCATTATTTTCATAGTAACACAGGGCTTTACACCATGCAATGATTTTCATTCAAATATCTGGAACACTTGAGAACAGTGATTGTTGTAATTAATAGGCCTCTGAAATAATATGATTCTCTTTTCTCATCGGTGACTGAACTGGAAAATGTATTTAGTTAAGGTAGAGCAAAAGAATATCAGTTCTTAAGGAAACATTCTACAGTCCAGATATTTTCAACAGAACAATGTGGGGTTTCATTATCACCATCTTAAAATTTTACCATTTTCCAATATAAAAAATCAATATGTCAGAAGTGAGTACTTCCTCTCTCCTATTTTGTAAGGCTTTGCATTCTACTAAATCTAAAGCTAATAAAACATTGTTACATAAAAACTCCATTTTAATAATTGCATGTCCCAGATCTTTGGATGAGAGGGAGTTTGTTATTGTAAGAACAAATGATCAGACCTGGACAGGTAAATTTATCTGCTGGGATATGGCAGCTGAGACGCAAAGTCCAGAACTCATCCATCCAAAGCTAAGTATGAGCATGCAGTATGATTTATGTGCTTGTTACACATTCTAGTAGGGTATTTCTCTACCAGGCTCCAGTCTGTGTTACCTGGTTCTTTAGGAATTGTAACTCAAAGACATCTCACCTCAGACTTTTGTCAGATGAAGCCCCTCTCGTTTCTTTCTTGCAGAAGGGGATAGTGTACACAGGGTATTTGTCAGTGAATTTCTGAGCAGAGCATATTACTGTTGATGCAGTAAATGAACTTGAAACAACATGCAAGAATGACAGCATTTCATAGCTCCTCCTTTAAGTGAGTGTGATGACTATCATATGATTCACTGTTGGCAAGAATATGTATGTTTTTCTATTTCTCCCAGCAGTGAAGTGGTCTACTTTTTCCTAATCAAGAAGCTTTAAGTTTTTTGTTCCTGTAACATTTTACAGTAATGGGAAAAGTCTCAACTGACAGATAAAGCCATGGTGCTCACGGTCCTGCACTCCCTGCCCAGTTCTTGGTGTGTTCTGGGAAGATTATATGCAGAATAAAATGTCCTTGAAGTCAGGAAAAGGTAGCAGGCAGAGATTATGAGGTTCACTGTAATAACTCTGTGAGCTGTAATCTCTGCATCTGAAAGCCTCATTTTTCATCAGCAATGTGAGGATTTCTACGTTTTATCTTTCTCTTGAAAGAGAGCTGAAGTGGCAGATGCAGCTTTTGTGGCTGCTTGACAGGGGTGTGTGTGTGTGTGATTGCTGTTATCAGTACTTGCTGAGTCATTATTTGTAATTATTGAAAAAAGTAGGGAAATTTCCTTAAAGGATGTTAAATCTATTTCTGGCAATTACAGGCTAAATTTTGGTTTTAAGAATATTCACCAAAAAAAAAAAAAAAAAAAAAAAGGAAAAGAAAAAAAGAGGTCGACAGATCTGAGCAGGCATTACTACTAAAATATGTACACCATCAGTGTATCATCACCTTGGAAACTCCTTAGGCATTACTCACTGAAAAAACCACTGAGACTTGAGATGCCCAGTCAGAGAAATAAAATACTAAGGACCAGTATTAAAACAGTATTTGAGAACTCCTGAAAAAAAGATGCATTAAGACATGCATTTTCTTAAATAATTCTGAATGTTTTAAGGTGCATTAAAAAAAACCCTGCTAAATTATTTTCAATAACAAAACTTGGTAAATTAAGTTCTTCACAGTGAACCATCTACACAGATTTATTTTAGTCTCATTTGAAGATATATCAAGATGACAATACAGTAAATATAAATAAAAACTTCTCATGCATCAAATAAGCTCATTTACATGGATGAGTTAAAAAATTCCTTCCTGTGTGAAATGTGGTGTAGCATGAACTGGTATTCATTTTACAATATTTGTTTTATAATGGCCTGATTTTTTAAAATAACAAAATCATGGCAACTGTCATTTTTGCACTAGGGTATAGGAGGTGAATCCAGCTTATCAACCACAAAGCTGAAAAACACATCACTTATGCCAATAGCGAAACTTGTCAACAAATGAGAGAAAAGCAAAAATGGAAAAACAAGACTATGTACTTTAATATTTTTAATGAAACAGTTACTGACACCATTAGAGCGTGATGGTTGATCCAACAGAGTCCCTGTGCTAGAGAGCTGGGATCTTACAGTGCTGCAGCCATTTGTCAGCTTAGAACATTGTCCACAGGGTTGTGCCCTGTGTCCATCAATACAGCCACTTGTACCCAAAAAGTGCCAGCAGTAGGATCTCGGGTTTCCTGTGGTCAGGATGACCCCAAGAGTCCTTTTTCCCAGGCCGATAGTCGAAGAAGGAGTAGGAATTCCTTGGTGGTTCCCAAGGTTGTTTATTTTCTCTTATCTAATACATTCTTTTCCTGACCCACAGAGGTCTGTCTTGCAGGTCTGTCCAAGGCATACTGCCCACCCTCAGGCTGGTGCCAACATTTTATACTAAAAACTACGTGTACTTTATTTACCATTATTTTCCAATACCTCTCATCTCTGTTAGACTGTCTACTTCTACCCTAAACCAATCCAAAAGTGCCAACATCACACAGAAAATGGAAGCTAGGAAGAAGAAGGAAGAAGGGCAAGAAAACACCCAAATCCCTCCATCTTGCCTCCTAGACCCCTATTCTAAAAATCCCCAAAATTCCACTTTTCATCCTGTGATAAATTCATTATCATTCTACTTAATCTTCTGTGACTTGTAACTCTTCATACAAGGTTGGTAATTTGCTCCATGGGTTAAAATAAAAAACCCAAGTGTCTTTGGCTTCCTGCCAAGATCTCTGAGCCCCCTACTAGGGGCTCAAGCCATCCAGGGCACTCAGAGGGATGTCCTGGGTTCCAACAGCAGGATAGGCCTGAGAGGTCCAGCTCTTGCCCTCTATATGTCACATGCCAGTGAGATGAAGGAATAGCAGAGGTAGCCAAAAATACCTATGCTTAGGGCCATTTTTCTCATTGATATTTAGGATTACAAATGAAGCAGAAAGACCCAAATTGAGGGTCTGAGGCCATGTTTGGATAGATCTCTGCTTTACAGCATCTCTCTTACTTGGGAGTAGATCTCAAACTTACCTCTCATAAATTCTTCAAAGACTAAGAGCTGTTCTCTGTTACCCCATTACTTCATCTATTTTTTCTTTATTGCAATCCCTTTTACCTACTATTTTTTTAACCTGCTCTAAATGTAATTCACTCAATTTCAGGATCATTGATCTGAACAATGGCAGTAAATGTAATCAGGAAATAGAAAAAGGTAATAGAATTTTGTATTTGGGTTGCTTATTTATTTACTTTGTAATGACTTGTACATTTTGGCTGTAGTCTACCAAATCAAAATGCTTTTTAAACCTGTAAGAAGAGACAAAAAAAATTAATATTGGGTTTCCAAGGTCCTCAGTTTAAAGAGCAAAGACTTCCTGAAGTCTAAAAATCTGTTGTCAATTTAACATGGTCTTTACTGTTCCTTTTTTATTTCCTACTTTACATATTTTTTGATTAACTATTATCTAATTCTTTGGAAAATATTGTCATGTGATGACAAATCTTTTTCTTGCATGTTTCTAAATTCTCCAGTGCTGGAAAACAAAACCACAGAACCACACCAGTCTCTTCCTGTGACATTTCCAGATCAGACCCACAACTGTAACACTCAACTGCTTGAGATCAAGAACTCACATAAGAATTCAGGCACTCAGTTCAGGTCTTTGGTGTCTGTGAAGGTTGCATGGTCAGTGGGCAAAGTGGATATTCCATTTTTCTTTTCTATATTACTCAGTATCCCAAAGAGATATTCTAAGTATTTCTAATATTTATGCAGGATGGATTCACAGATAATGACTTAACAAGTGAGAACAACAATAAAACAAACTTGCTGAATATTTTCTGTAAAACATACTAGAATATGCATAAAAAAACAAATGAAGGAAAACTCACAGAGGCTAGGCAGAATAAAGTTCTGTTAACAGAGCGCATAATTCATGGTAGGAGATGCAAGACTTCTTTACTGTTGGAACATACCAGTGTTCCCATGCTGCAGAGCCTTTGTTTGTGACAATACATTAACTGCATCTGTCAAGGAGGCAGAGCAGACATTAAATAACATGATTGTAAGGGAGTGTGAATTACATATATGATACTATGGAGCTCATGATGAAATACTGTGTTATTTATCCACTTAAGCTATTATTCTTGAATAGCATGGCATTAGCTTCTGTTTACCAGTCTATTATAATTAATGAGTTAAGAATGTTCTTAATTACATGTACATAGTGCACACCTCCTTATTCTTAAAGCAATATATTTCTTCTAAACATATCTGGGTTGTGAGATCCTCTATAGAATTGATTACTCTAACATGCATTGCATCTTAAATATTTTGCTTTTTTTCAGACAAACTTTGGCATATACCTGATGAACCAGCCCTTGTGCTCATCCTTTTCAGATACTTTATCAGTTGGGTCTCAAGTACTTCCAGTGCTGAAGGAGAATACAGAAATTCAGCCTCCGATATCCAGTGAAGAAAAATGTTCAGGATAGATTCTCTGGTGGAGATGAAATTTTTAAGCAACTACAGTCAAAAGTCAGTAGTCAGTTACACACACAAAAAAGCAAAAGCTTCCACTCATTTGCTACGGGTAATTTTTTGTTTGCTGTAAATGTTATCAGATGGCAAAACTGTTGATAATTACAGCTCACCTACATGTTTTTGCTTGTGATTAGGTTGCAGCAGCCATAATTCTATTTTGCACAATTGCTTCAGGATGCAACAGGTTTGATCAAGTCTTACTGGTGGATGACTCCCAAAACAAGCCCAACTTTGTTGTCAGAAAGCCACATCTCAGTGAAGGAAAGTAAACACAATAATACACTACTTCCTTCTGCTTTGTCAAAACCCCAATTAGGATAGGATGCAAGACATATTTTAGAAACAATGTGGGTGGGAAGAAAGCAGTGGAAGAGTGGCATGAGAGTAGCACTGCATTCAGCTTCTCCAAAAGAAAACTGAAGGTGATATGTAGACAGTGTGAAAGCAATGGAAAAGAGGGAATTTTTGAGAAGTCTGTGTCTCCCCCTTTGGAAGTAGTGTGTGAGAACACCACCACGGCACAAAGATAATGAGGATTCATTTGCAAGACACATTGCCTGTGAAGGAATTTCATCCATTTGTTCTCAATGTCTTTCTCTTCCATTTGTTACTTTTCCCTCTGATTTATTTTATGTGATGTCTTCCCTGGGATTTTTAATGTAATGGTGTTCCTGCCTATAGAAGGGGAGTTGGAACTAAATGGTCTTTAAGGTCCCTTCCACCCCAAGCCATTTCATGACTCTATGAGTTCCACACTCTTGTTTCCTTATACATTTGTGGATGCTGACACATTATTTCTAATTAGAGATGTTTCAAGTAATTGAAAACTGCAGTCATTTTCTATACAAACTTTGTTTATCCTCAGCAATCTTTAATGGCGACTTGAGGGAACTCTTGAGAGTTTAAATGCTTCTCTATCACAAACAGGTCAAAGCATTCTTTTTTCTTACCCTTTGTTCATTTCATAATGCCCTTCTTAAATGGCTGTTTGCACCTCCTAAAAAAGACTCATGCTTTCTGATTTATGAGAGCAAATGTCTGAAACCTTAGTCTGAAGTATCAATTATTGTGAAAATTATGAAGAAATAAATAAAGGAAGACACAGAGCAGAAAAGAAAACCCACATGGAAAGCTGATGTAAATCAAGACTGAATACATTGAGGCCAGGTATTTTATGACCCTCAACATGTGTCCAGCTAGCTATGGGATGATTTCATGCTTCCAGGAAGTCCTTCTGGAAGAGAAAATTCTCCTAGACTGGCTGCTCTATTGCCATCTGGGAAGTGAAATTTTGACCCCACTAAAGGCACCGTCAAAACTCTCATCCAATATGATTTAGGCGCAATTTTGGCTCCAGCTGTGTGAAAGTGCTTCTGGCTGAAGCAATCCTTAAGTTGTTTGAGCATATCCCCGGAGGGAGGCAGGTGGCTTTGCGAAAGAGTTGGTCAGACAGTCATTCTGAAAGGAGAGCGACTACCACAGAGCAGCAGAGAATGGGAAAAAGGAAGCTCATCACCCAGTGCACAAATCAGAATTCAAAAATGCTCTTTCTTCTTTCTATCTTTCCTTTTTTTTCCTTTTATTTTTTTTTTAATGTATGGTTTCTTTTTTCCTTTGTTCTTTTGAAGAACTGGTTTTACTCACTTCAGCTGGAACAGTTTCTCAGCAGAGCTTTGTAATGGAAATGAGAAGAAACGTTGTCTGTTTCTTACAATATGCCATAAAATACATGGGAAGAGAGAGGTTTTTCATATGTATGTAAACTGAAAATCAGTTTTGAGAGTTGTACCTTCCACTTCAGAGCCCAAGGTCTGCTTCTTAATGCCTGCTTTGAAAAGCAGGGAGTTTTCTCTCTAATAGTCAGTTATCTGAGGTTGTAATGAGAAGGTTTTTTTGGAACCTTGAAAAGCAGTTTCCTGGTATCTAAATCTCTTAACTGCTTCACTTTCTGTTATGCAGAGCATTGCTTTGTTGGGTAGAAAGCCAGCATAGCTCTGGCAGATTTAATATTAAGAGATCTGTTGTATGCTGACCTTCAGTGATCTCTGGTGTTCTGATCTGTCCTCTTCACCTCACCACTGTGTCATTTGTTTAAAATGGCAGAAGTTAGAAAAGGAAATTGAAAGCAACCTCAAAAAGCTCTGTTTCACTCGTTATTGCATTTAGTACAAAATAAGTCACTTTGGTACACAGTAGCTTGACAAATACTGTTTGTGAATATCCATAATGCAATGTATGATAACTATGGATGAGAGGATTTGAACTTTAAAAATGTCATGCTTGGTCATTTTGACCTATTATTTACAGTCAATTACACATTCTCTCTGCTGTTGCTTGGTAATATTAGATCAAGAATAATTTTGCCATTTTACAGGGGGGAAAGAAAGATTTTCTCTGATGTATGAACATAGTCATTAGTATTGTCTGTGCATTTCCCAGAAGGAACATCCTTGTGGTACAGTGGTAGGAAATGTCACAACACTTCAGACTGATGGAAGATGTATAAGGAATCTATCAGCTAAATAAAAGATAATATTTCCCTTCTAGTAAGTGGAGTGTTCCTGCCAGTACTGCTATGTCTTTCCATCGATGAAGACAAATTCTTCTCAGTGATAAAACTCTGTGGAAAATCTCAAAGTGCAAAAAGTCACTTTTAAATGGCATGCACTGTAAGTTTGCAGAAAGAACAACCCTCCCATAATGTGAAAAAATAATTCAGTGGAAGAAGAAATTTAGCATACTGCAATGCCTAAGACTGCACATACAAAAGGGGCATAAACACTTTGAAACACTGTATTAAAAATTTTTATGTTCTATAAGGGTTTATTTCTTAACTTTCCAAGTATAGGGAAAATGAGACAACTTCGTATGAATGTAGGCTCTTTGATCTAAATACCCCAATTACTGCCAAATTAAATCTTTTAATAATTAAATAATAATTGCAGATATATGTTTGCCTTATATGGATAATAAATGCACTTAATATAGTATTTCCAGACTGCTATATATAAAAAGTCCTCTATATCTTTGAAAACCAAATGCTTATTTACTTGAAATGAATTATTCAGACATATTGCATTCTCTGTGAGACTTAGCTCCTTCTCAAATTTCAAGGTAAAAATGGTGATTGTTACAAGTTCTAATAATAGCCAGGAGGCTGAAATCACAAAACAGAAATCGGTATTTTTAGGAGAAGTTTCTGAGCTTTGTGTTTTCTGATACAACTAAGATATTTCAGGTTAGTTTATGATTTGTATACTTTCAATGGTGTCCTTCAAAGTATACTACAAATCTTAGGTCATCTTTCTGTCAAAATTACATCCAAATCAAAATAAAAGACTGCATAAAAATATGATTATTCTCCATAAATTGTAGCGATTATGCTATGCAAATCTTCTTTCATCTGGTTTTTAACTTCCTTGGAAATTCAACCAATAAAATATATATTGTGTTTGATGTGTCTGCTGATGATGGTTGCATTCCCAACCTTCAAGCTCATGAGGTGCTCAGTTCTGCCTGGAGGCACGGCTGGGCACATGGATGACGTGGCTCAGGACTGAAAGGATGGCTCATTGCTGCTAGGATTCACAGGTGAGGTGTTCCCTCCGTCTGTGTAGCCACGTCCCAGTCAGCTGCACACTCAGGCCCTGCACAAAATGAACTCATAATCACTGGTTTCCTTTAACATGTGTACAGTCAGTCCTGTTGAATCCATCTCTATTATCCAGTGGTTGGAGCTTTCACCAAGGGTGGGAGAAGAGATGCTTTGTTTCTCTCTCCTTTGCCTGGAGGGATCCAACACTGTTTTTGCTCACTGTCTAACCTGTCAGTTAGTAGGGAAGACCAAATAGGAGTTGGTGTGTGTAGGAATCTCAGGGAAGGCTTGTCCCTCCCTTCTCCTGGAGTTTATGTGGAAATGATCTGTGACTCACAGGGCCAGCAAGAGACAGGCATGAGCGCAGTGAGGCAGCATCTGCACGTGACTTCGAGCTACTTGTTCATGCATTTTTTAATTCACTGAGTGTGGGAGGGGAAGAAGAGCAGAACTCTGTAACACAACAGGTAGGTCACTCCCATGGAAGTGAAATATGGGTGCATCCCTGTTTCTCCATTATACATCTGTCATGAGGCAACTGCTAGGGGAAATCATAGGCATAGCCCCCAGAGAGGGGAGGAGAAGGCAGAGTGCTCCTTTCCACTGGGCATTTTGAGACTGTGTTTGCAGAGGCAGCCTTGTCTCCTTCCTCTGGCCACCAGTGTGTAAGTAAAAGGTGGAACTTCATCAAGACTAGAAAAGAACCTCCCAGTGTGTTTTGAAATAGGCCATTAGGGGGAATATGTGTTTGAGTCATCAAAAGATGAAATCAAAATGTGCCTACATTTCTGACTTCTTGGTAGGTGTGCCAGTGGCAAGGCCAGAGTATACAAGAAAAAATGTGGGAGAGAAAGAAAAGTGTCATTTTCTATAGTCAAAGTTTAAGAGAAAGTTGTGATGCACATGCTTTCATCACCCAGTTTGTGATTTTTTTTTTCCCCAGAAAATAAAGGATGTAAGTCCTTTAGGCCCATAAATCACAATCTGAGAATTTGGAGTAAGTCATTGACAGAGAGGTGCCTCTAAAGCAAGGCACCATTTAAGAGGCTTCTTTTCCCTCCTTTTCATGCCAACCAGTTTGCTTTGCTAGTCACTTGGTGAGGTGATGGTTGTGGGTCCTTCCCATTGCAAAAGAAAATAGGCAGTTTTCCTGCATGAGGATTGAGGTGACTCACTCAGGACTATGGACAGGGAGAGATGTTAAGGAAGTTTGAAATGGGGCATCTTTGAGCATCACTGTCATGGGCAGAGTACATAAGGAACCTCCTTAATAATCCTAGAAATATGTGTTACAGAAAAAGTTATTATTTTTTCTGCTGGTGCCATGAAATCATCCTCTAAGGATGATATTCAATAATTGTTCCACTGGGGAACAGATCATTGCAAAGGCAGGATGGGAAAAGGAGAGAAACAAAAAAATTGCATGTTGTGGCATTTGCCACTCAGAATACCCACCAAGTAAGACAAAATGTGAGAAATCAGGGAATTTGATCTAGTACATCAGTTTCATGGCATATTTGAAAGGATATGGATCTCAAATGTAAAGCCCTTTCATTTGCGTGGCTCATACATAGCCTATAACTAAGTACATTTCTGTCTTAAACCAAATTTCTTCTGTGAGCTAATCTCTTCCAAACTTGCAACCAAAACTTCTCAACACACTTCAAATATGGAACTCAACATCAGCTTCTCCTAGATAACCAGTACAGTTATCAGAATTACCATATTTGAGTCCCTTTCATGCTTTTTGCTGGCTTTCAGAGTCAAGTGTCCCATCTGGATTAAAGCACTCTGGCCAGGATTGTTAATGCAGAGATGATTCCTCAGTCCAGAAGTGAAATCAGCTTTTGATTTCTAAAAGGGCTGTTTTCCATGAGGCTGTGTTTTAAAAGCCAGCAATGATCTAATATCTAGTCTGTTGTTTCCTGGTACTTATGATAGATGAATCAGATAAAGCTGTTGAAAAGTTTGTGAGTTGTTCTTTCCAGAAGCTAGAAGACTACAGAAAACTATAAGACTGCAAGAAGGCCCTGCACTGCTGAACCCATTCTACAAATGGAGATGAGCCTCTGAAGTATCCATCATTCATGGATGTAATTCCTGTGAGTCATGTATTAAATATTTGTAATTACACTGGTTTAGCCAAATGCTTTCAATTATTTCTTATCCTTGGAGCCTTTACATTTCCTGTCAAAGTTTCTCCCAGCAAACCCTTTAATACTGAAATTAAATGAAATTTTTCTTGGGTCAAATGTGTGTTTTTATTCTGCTTTAAGGAATAAGAGGAAACAGTCTCAAGTTGTGCCACTTGAGGTTTATGTTGCATATTAGGAGAAGTTTCTTCATGAAAAAGGTTGTCAAGAATTGGAATAGGCTGTCCAGGGAAGTGGCTGAGTCACCATCCCCAGAGGTATTTAAAAGACATGCAGATGTGGTTCTGAGGAGCATGGTTTAGTGGTGGACTTGGCTGTGCTGGGTTAACTGTTGGACTCCATGATCTTAAGGGTGTTTTCCAGACCAAATGGTTCTGTGATTGTAAGAATGTAAGTTTTCCATGTTAGACTTGCTATCCAGAGCTTGATGGAGTGATTTAATACACTTGAAAAGTGAAGGTTCTTGTCTGAGTTACTTCATCTGTCAGCCAGAATTTTGGATAAGCTACAGTGTTCCTCAGAAATGTCGGGTCAGTTAGAAAAGAACATGGAGAGAGTGAGAGAGAGAGTGGCACAGCGGCCCAGGCACAATGTTGGAATGCTGCCACTGCTGCCCTGTGCTGTAGCACAGGGATTGTATATTGTGGCCAGAGACTTTTAGATCAATTAAAACCCAACAGTCATTGCTAATTTAGTTTACCAGCCTTGGAGGACTTTTCATTAACTAGTTGTGCATGTCTTTTTTCTGAGGGAAGGACTTTGTTGAGTTCTTATACTATTTTATGTCTCCTACTGGAGTCACTTGGTATTCATTCAGTCTCCCTTGCCTTTCCCCCTGGCACAGCATGGTAATTTGGAGCTATTTACAAAGTGCAAAGTAAAGACTATGTCGAGGAAGAGAAAATCTGAGGTTTCATTGAGTGGGTAATCTAAAACAATTGGTTAAATCAGTCAAGCAAGACTGAGAGCTGTGTGGAGCAGGGACCTGCATGAAACATTGGGAAGAATGTAAGTGGATTCCTACCAGTCTCCTTTTTGTTAAGTGCAAAGATAATAAAAGCCAGCAATCATGTATTTGAGAAGCTATATGTGATCTAAATGAGATTGTCAAGTATTGCAATTAGCATATTTATCTGCATATATACTAAATCAATGTTCTGCTAAAAATTAGAATGTTTGGATTGGGAGGGTCATTATAACCTGTGTTGTATTTCTTCTGATTGCATCTATCATCCCCAAAATATTGATGGGCAAAATATTTGTTTAAATTATAATTTCTATCTAGTAAAAGGAATTGAATTTTGAAAACTCCTGAACAAGACAGAGCTTTCTGAACTGAGACTTACAAATTAGATGAATGTTGATATTACACAATGAGCCATTTGGAAAAGTGGCCATGGCACTTATCAAAGAGAAGAAACAGTCAGGCATCACATTAAGGCTCAAAAGGAATGCTTGGTGGCAGAGAAATCCCATAAGATACACACACCTCTCTGCCCAAACTGCCCAAATTAAGACATTTACTTTCAGTAGGTGTTCTTATTTTTCTGAAGTCTCTGGTGATAATCTTTATGCCAGAAGGAACAGGTAGAGATTGAGAGGCAAAGGGGTATCAGATAGAAAGTGCCAGAATACAGCAAAATAATGGATTTTTTTTAAATGAAAACAGCATGCTTTGATTTTCTACAGCTTTCTCTGTAGGAAGAAAATTAAGTTTAAAAAGAATGTGAAAATAAGTATAAAAGCGAATAACAGAACTAAACAAAATTATCTAAGCCTTCTAGAATGCATTAATCAGTTTATTGGGTTTTGAGCATCCAAGCCACAGTTTGTCTTACCAGTCTTGATTTTACAGCCCCCTGACTGCCAGATCATGGGTAAAAGTCACTGAAATAGTGTTATTATCAGCTTATTATTGACAGAGATACTCATTATGGATGTGGGCATGGAGATAAAGTTGCTAATCAATGTAGTTATAGGGCAAACCAAACCTTAAAATTATAAGAGAAGGCCTCATGGAGAGATGCACTCTTTCTCAGAAAGAGGAAAATTCTGACCTTAATACTGCAATAAAAAGCTGAAAAGCTTTCTAGCTGTAGCAAGACTTATTGGTTCAGAAACATCATGATTTTTGACCTCTTGATGCTGGCATTATTATGACATACACTCAGCCTTTCTTAACCTGGATTTTCTGTGGAAGAAATAACTGCATCTGGCAGGAAGAAGATGTCTGAACATGAATGGCAGAGGAGATGAAGCCTTTTAAGAGCCTGTAAGTAGAACAAGATCCCTTGGTGCCCTTAGGGCAATAGGAGCCATGAGCCCAGTAATCCATCTGAAAATGCAACTACAGATTCATGAATGGACTTGAGAATGGGGAAATGCTGCCTTAAAAGTGAACTCTCCTCTCTGTCTTCCAGCTATTTCTCATTTCTGTCTAAAAGCAAAGCTGGATGAAAAAACAATGAGATTAGAAAGCTGTGTATTTCAGTGTGAATCCTTTTTCATTATAAGCCAGTTGTTTTCTCATTTAATGAGCCAAAATATTGCCGTGCAATAACAACTGAATAATTTTTTTAAAATTTGTATGATGGGCTGTACATTAATTCATTCATGTGAAATTTTGAGTCCTACTAGCATTCCTTAATTTCTGGTTACTGTCTTGGTAATGGAGCTGTCGGTGTCAGGGTAGCTGTGTTTGAAGGGAC